ACAGACCTAGAGGTGGCAAGGCTGTGCTGGGCTTTCCAGGAATGTTGCTGCACAGAAGAGGAGAGAAGGAGGAGGCAGGAGGCCACACGGGCTCACTGTCCTGCAGCCAGCAGCTCCAGCCTGGCACAGGCCGCACACCCTGACCTCACATGCAGACGCAGCAACGTGTGCACACACACAAACACAAAGGCCACTTACACGCTTATCCATGCGGACACTTCCACGAACTGGAGCACACGGGCATGCACATGCCACACACGAGCACAAACCTGTGGACACACGACACTCACGTGCACACACACGCGCCCGGCTCTGCTCAGGCTCCCGGAGCCTCCTGTTGCCACAAGCAAGGATTCTGGGCTCACACCCAGCTAACGGCTGCAGCTGGACCAGAGTGAGAAGCCTGCCAGGCTGAGCTAGGCACCCCAGCCCCAGGTGCCCACTGCCAGCCAAAGCTTTCAGGCCTGCTGGTGTCCAGCCTGTGGTACGAAGCAGTTCTGGGTTTCTGATCACACAAGATAATGTTTCCTTTGCTGGCATCTGCATTTCCAGTTATTTGTGGCTGCACCATCCCAAGACACGCACTGTCAAAAACACCCTTCAGCATACTGGGCCCTCAGACCTACCAGGGCAGAGACCTTGTCTTGTTTGCTGCTGGAACCCGGGGTCACTGGAAGATCCCCGAGCACCAGGCGCTGACACACACTGTTGGATGAATGAATGAGTGTGACAGAGCCTTCAGGGTGAGGCTCAGGTCAGCCAGGCAGGGCTGGGGGCTGGAGTGGCCCCAGAGGTCTTGTAGGGAAGGGCCAAGAGGAAGGTGTGGTGGTGAAGGACGGGGGTGCAGAGGCCCCAGGTTACCACAACACCCCTGCCCTGGCACCTCCAGCGGGGCTCAGGGTTGGGCTGCAGCATCTGGGTGAGCAAATGAGCCTGCAGCCTCTTTGCCCAACCCTGCCCCAGCCAGGAAATGACCCCTCACGAGGGGCTGCCTCTGACACCTGTGGCATTGCCAGGAGGCTGTGTGCCCGGCTTGTTCCGTCCTTACCATGGAGACAGCACCAAAACGGCCCACCACATGGTGGCCCTGCTGCCCAGCAGGGAGGCACTGCCACACCCCAGGGCGCTGGCTCCGGGGGGCAGCAGTATGTGGGCTCCAGCTCTGCCCAGCAGTGTGTCCTGAGAGGAAACCTTAGAGTCACCTGATCTGCAAAACAGTCCCCCAGCCCGGCGCGGTGGCTCACCCCTGAACCCCAGCATGTTGGGAGGTGGAGGCAGGAGGATTACTTGAGTTGAGGAGTTCAAGACCAGCCTGGGCAACATAGTAAGACTTTTCCACTAAAAAATAATTTTAAAAACTTAAGGCCGGGTGCGGTGGCTCATGTCTGCAGTCCCAGCGCTTTGGGAGGCCAAAGTTGGTGGATCATGAGGTCAAGAGGTCGAGACCAGCCTGGCTAACATGGTGAAACCCCGTCTCTACAAAAAATAAAAGTGCCACTGCACTCCAGCCTGGCGACAGAGCGAGACTGTGTCTCAAAAATAAAAATAAGAAAAGGCTGGGTGTGGTGGCTCACGCCAGTAATCCCAGCACTTTGGGAGGCCAGGGCAGGCAGATCACTTGAGGTCAGGAGTTTGAGACCAGCCTGGCCAACATGGTGAAACCCAGTCTCTACAAAAAATACAAAAAATGACCTGGGCGTGGTAGCACATGCCTGTAGTCTCAGCTACTCAGGAGGCTGAGACAGAAGAATCGTTTGAACCCAGTAGGCAGAGGTTGCAGTGAGCTAGCAAGACTTCATCTTTTTTTTTTTTTTTCTCAAGCATTGGCTGCTTAAACAATTCTTTTTTTTTTTTTTTTAGAAAGAAAAAAAGAATAATTTAAAAAAGAATAAAGAAGAGGAATAAAGAGAAAGAGAAAGAGGGAGAGAGAATGGGGGTATTGCTTTATTGCCGGGGCTAGAATGCAGCCTAAATATGGGTATGCCCATAATTGTCCTTAATAATGGAGACATGAAAGAAAATGAGGGAAGAGAACAACAAACAAGGAGCCAGCCAATATTTCATTTAAACTTCTAAGTTATATGATGTGGTACTGATAAGAGTGTATATTTTGTGTATTTAAAGTGGAGAGTTCTATAAATGTTAATTACATTTACTTGTTGCAGATCTGAGTTCAAGTCCTGGATATCGTTAATTTTCTATCTCACTGATCTGTCAAATATTGATGTTGAAGTCTCCCACTATTATTGTGTGGGAGTCTAAGTCTCTTTATAAGTCTTGTATGTCTTGGTATTCCTGTATTGGGTGCATATATATTTAGGATCTTTAGCTCTTCTTGTTGTTACATTGATCCTTTTATCATTATATAATGTCCTTCTTTGCTTCTTTTGATCTTTGTTGCTTTAAAGACTATTTTATCAGAGGCAAAATTTGTAAATTCTGCTTTTTGTTTACTTATTTATTTTTGCTCTCCATTCGGTTCGTAAATCTTTCTCCATCCCTTTGTTTTGGGTCTTTGTGTATCCTTGCATGTGAGATGGATCTGGATGCAATGGGTTTTAGGCCCATTAGTTGATGTAAATTCTTCATTATATCGATACTCTTTACTTGTTGGTGTTTTTTAGAAAGGCTGATACTGTTTGTTCCTTTCTATGTGTAGTGGTTCTTTCAGAAGCTCTTGTAAAGCAGGCCTGGTGGTGATGAAATCTCTGAGTGCTTCCTTGTTCACAAAAAACTTTATTTTTCCTTCACTTGTGAAGCTTAGTTTGGCTGGATGTGAAATTCTTGGTTGAAAGTTCTTTTCTTTAATGATGTTGAATATTGGTCCCCACTCTCTTCTGGCTTGTAGGGTTTCTGCTGAGAGATCTGCTGTGAGTCTGATAGGCTTCCCTTTGTGGGTAACCTGACCTTTCTCTCTGGCTGCCCTTAGTATTTTCTCCTTCATTTCAACCCTGGTGAATCTGACGATTATGTGCCTTGGAGTTGCTCTTCTTGAGGAATATCTCTGTGGTGTTCTCTGTATTACCTGGAGTTGAATATTATCCTGCCTTACTAGGTTGGGAAAATTTTCCTGAATAATGTCCTGAAGCGTATTTTCCAGCTTGGATTCATTCTCTTCGTCACATTCAGGTACACCTATCAAGCGTAGATTAGGTCTTTTCACATAGTCCCATATTTCTGGGAGACTTTGCTCGTTCCTTTTTATCCTTTTTTCTCTAATCTTGTCTTCTTGTTTTATTTCATTGAGTTGGTCTTCGACCTCTGATATCCTTTCTTCTGCTTGATCAATTCGGCTGTTAAAACTTGTGCATACTTCACGTAGTTCTCGTATTGTGTTTTTCAGCTCCATCAATTCACTTATTTTCCTCTCTAAATTGTGTATTCTTGTTAACATTTTGTCAAACCTTTTTTCAAAGTTCTTAGTTTCTTTGGATTGTGTTAGAACAAGTTCTTTTAATTCACAGAAGTTTCTCATTATCCACGTTTTGAAGCCTGCTTCTGTAATTGGAACACACTCGTTCTCCATCAAGCCTTGTTCCGTTGCTGATGAGGAACTGGGATCCCCCGCTGAGGGAGAGGCGTTCTGATCTTGGGTATTCTCAGCCTTTTTTGGCTGTTTTCTTTCTTTCGTTGTAGCTTTATCCATCTGTGGTCTTCATAATTACCGTCTTTGTAATTAGGTTTCTGAGTGGACGTCCGACTTATTGATTCTCAGCGCCGAAATCTGAGCAACCCACTGCGCCGACTCAATCAGCGGCGTTAAGATTGATGGTGCTTTTCCGACTCTGCACCAAGAACCGACGCTCCGAGGCGCCGGCAAAACCGCCTCGCCGGTCACAAGAGTCGCGCTGGCGGCCCGTGGGGCTCCTCCGCTGGGAATCTCCTGGTGCGTGAGCAACAAGAATTCATGTGAAGGTGTGGCGTCCTCTCGTTCTTTGCGTTTTCACTGGGAGCTCCAATCCCGAGCTGCTGGTGATCAGCCGTCTTGGATCTCTCTCTCCGAGACTTCATCTTAAAAAACAGCAACAACAACAAACTTAGCCGGGCATGGTGCCGAGCCCCTGCAGTCCCGGCTACTCAAGAGGCTGACGGGAGGATCACTTCAGCCCAGGAGGTCGAGGCTGCGACGAGCAGTGACCGCGCCACTGCACTCCAGCCTGAGCCACAGAGAGATCTTGGCTCAAACAAAAGAAAGCAAACAACAGAAACGATGCAGCAGAGCCGGGAAGTGGTACCAGAAGGGACCCACAGGGCAGGCGCCACCCCGTCCCCGCTGGGGCAGGCCTGGGAGCGGGGCCCAAGCCCAAACGGCCCCATCCGCAACCTCGGAGTGGCTGGGAGGGCCCCTGGCCCCAGGCCCACCGTGACTCAGGTCAGTAGGGCTCGGAGGGAGCCTGTGACAAGACTGGGTGTTGCTACTGACTAGATTTGTTTCTTTCTTTCTTTTTCTTTTTTGAGCCAGAGTCTCACTCTGTCGCCCAGGCTGGAGTGCAGTGGCGCAATCTCGGCTCACTGCAACCTCTGCCTCCCGGGTTCGAGAGATTCTCCTGCCTCAGCCTCCCGAGTAGCTGGGATTACAGGCACGCACCACCACGCCCAGCTAATTTTTGTATTGTTAGTAGAGACAGGGTTTCACCATGTTGGCCAGGATAGTCTCCATCTCTTGACCTCATGATCTGCCTGCCTTGGCCTCCCAAAGGGCTGGGATTACAGGCGTCAGCCACCGCGCCCAGCCAGGTTTTTAAAATAATGGCTTTATTACAACATAATTATAGAATTCCCGTATCATACAATTCATCCATCTAAGTGTGCAATCCTGTGGGTTTTAGCATATTCAGAGGTGTGCAAACATCACCACAGTCAGTATCTAAACATTTCCTCACCCCAGAAAGAAACCACACCAGCAACCGTCACTCCCACCCCCTCCCCCAGACGCTGGCAGCCCCACCTCCCTTCCGCCCTCTGGACGCGCCCACCCTGGATGCGTCACGTGAGGGGAGTCACGCCGTGTGCTCCTTGTGTCTGGCTTTTCACTTAGCACAATGTCTCCGAGGTCCACCCGTGTCGTCCGGTACGCCAGGGCCTCCTTCCTTGTGGCCGCGGGCACCATTCCACGGCCGGCATTGCAGTGCCTGGGCTCCCACGTCCAGTCTAAGCCTGCCTCGGTGGGTGGACGGGGTTTCCACCTTTCTGCCGTGGCAAACGACGCTGCTGCGGACTTTGGTGCACAGGCGGCGTTTGAGTCCTTGCTTTCGATGCGGGTGGAGCCAAGGAGCGGAATTCCTGGGTCCTAAGGAGACTGCCGGAGGAGCTGCCAGGCTTATTCCAGAGGGCCGCGCGTGTTGACGTTCCCACCACCACTGCACAAGCGTTCCAGTGACCCACGGCCATCTGGCGGGCGTGCAGTCTCTCTCTGTGGATTCAGGTTGATTTTCTTCATGGCTAAGGATGTCCAGCTTCTTTGCATTTGCCTGTGGCAGTTTCTACATTTTGTACTTCCTTGGAAGATCTGCCCAGACCCTTTGGCACAGGCCCAGAGTTTTTGTTTGTTTGTTGTTTGTTTTTTGGAGACGGAGTCTGGCTCTGTGGCTCAGGCTGGAGTGCAGGGGTGCGATCTCAGCTCACTGTAGCCTCTGCCTCCCGGGTTCAAGTGATTCTCCTGCCTCAACCTCCCGAGTAGCTGAGATTACAGGTGAGTGCCACCACGCCTGGCTAATTTTTTGTATTTTTAGCAGAGATGGGGTTTCACCATGTTGGCCAGGATGGTCTCGACCCCCTGACCTTGTGATCCGCCTGCCTCGGCCTCCCAAAGTGCTGGGATTACAGGCGTGAGCCACTGTGCCCGGGCTGATTTTTGTATTTTTAGTAGAGACCGGGCTTCACCGCGTTGGTCAGGCTGGTCTTGAACTCCTGACCTCAGGTGATCACCCACCTCTGCCTCCCAAAGTGCTGGAATTACAGGCGTGAGCCACCGCGCCGGGCCAGAGTTTTAAGAAAAACCACAAAGTGCTATGAAGTTTGAGGCTATCAGGATGGGGTGCCAGGCCAAGGTTCCTCAGGATGTGAGAGGCTGGTGCTCCCGGCGGGCTGCCGGGAAGAGGGGGCGGGAGAGGGCGGGAGGGGGCCCGGGCGGGCTCCCGGGGGCGGTTCCTGGAGGGCCTCCTGGGCGGGCCCCGCGGCGGCCGCAGTTTCACTTTTGGTTCTGGGCAGCTCCGGCTCCCACTCTTGGCTCCTGCTCTTCGACGGCTCCCCGGCGAGCAGACGCCCCATCCCCCGGGGCCCCCACGGTCGAGGTGAGCTGCCCCCCCCCACCTCCCCCGGTGCCGCCGGCGCTCCCGGGCGGGGAATGCTGGTCCTGCTGCGCCCTGGCGGTCCCAGCGCCCGCCCGGAAAGCCCCGCGCCCCACGGGCTGCCCTTGGCCAGCCCCGAGGCCCCGCCCTGGGACCGGGACCGGGTCGGCCATCCAGATGCCTGGGCCGGTGCTGGTTCCGCCCCCAGCGGCCTCCCGGCCCGGCCTGCGCTTTGGGCAGGCCCAGCGCTCAGAGGCTTCCTGGGGCAGCCGCGGGCCCTCCGCCGTGGGCGCAGAGGTCGGCTGTGGCCTCTGATCCGGAAACCCCAGCCTTGGACAGGTGGCTCATGGAGCTCCGGGCACAGAAAGGCCCTGGAGGACACAGCTGGCGTGGGGTGAGACTCTGGCTGCGTTTTGCAGGGGGTCCCTGTGCCATGCTCAGGAGATGTTAGAGCGGGTCTGGGCATCAGGCCGCACGGTCCCGGGCTGGAGGTACTCATGGCCCCAATGACAACAGGGTGGACACTGTATTTCTGTGTTGGGGAGTGGCCAGGGTCAGGCGCTTTCTGCTGGCAGGAGCATCGCAGGATGAGCGGAGCAGGGCTGCTCTGAAGGGAAGGAGTTTCCCATCATTGGAAACATCCAAGGGCGGATGCTGCTCCCACCCCCTCCTGCTGTTCTACCCCTGAGGGCACAATGCCTGGCCCATTTCTCCTCCTCAGGAACATGGGGTCGGCCTTTGAGTGGGTGGTTCGGAGAGTGGTCCAGGAGCTGGACCACGGTGAGGACCTCATCCCTGTGACCAGCCTGCAGAGCTCCACTGGTTTCAAGCCCTACTGCCTGGTGGTCAGGAAGTCCTCAAGCTCATGGTTCTGGAAACCCCGCTATAAGCACGTCAGCCTGTCAATCAAGGACATTCTGGAGCCCGATGCCCCAGAACCAGGTACCTGACCGGGTGCTGAGGCAGAGCCCTAGGGGGGCTGGGTGGGGGAGGGGAAGCAGGGGGCGTACGGCCAGCCACCCACCCTGCTCTGCAGGCTCTAGCCCTGGGTCTGTCTTCCAGAGGGCAGGGCCTTTGCAAAGGTCCTGCTGCCCTGGTCCTGGGACCCGCGGAAGGGGTGGGGCGGGAGGGCTGAGGCAGGTGGGCAGGGCCTCAGACCTGGCCTTGCTTTAGATTTGCAGCATGGTGGCTCCTTCCACATCCGTGACACCGTGGACGGGCAGCTACGGGCTAACGTGGAGGTGGCAGCCCCAGGACAGGGGAAGGTCGCAGGCGGGGCCTCGGTGTCTGACAGCTCCAGCACCTCGCTGAACGTGTTCTCGCTGAGCGTGGACCCGAACACCTGGCAGGCCCTGCTCCAGGAGAGGTGGGCCCGGAGAGGGCAGAGCCCCACTGACCCCAAGCAACGATGCTTTTATTATTTTTTTGAATTATTTTTTGAGGTGAGGTCTCACTATCTTGGCCAGGGTGGTCCTGAACTCCTGGCCTCAGGCAGTCCTCCTGCCTCGGCCTCCCAAAGTGCTGGGATCACAGGGGTGAGCCACAGTGCCCAGTCCCAGACTTGCTCTTGGGAAGGTCACCACTTTGGGGCATCGGGAAAGTCCCAGAGGCAAGGGAGTGCTGTGGCCGGCAGCGGGTTTCGGGAAGGAAGCTGCAGGGGTCACTGGGGGCCTCGGCCACCAGGACTGATCCTAAGGACCAGACTGAGCCCCAGGCTGCTGTGAGGACAAGCGGTGGTGGTTCGTGGGGGCCAGGTGAGGGGCTCCTCCCCTCACAGACCCGGTCCCTGTGGGGAGCATGCAGAGAGGCTGCCGGTGCCCAGGCATCCACAGACCCTGGAGGCGCCCTCCGCGCCACCTCCCCCAGTGGCATGGGGTCGTCTCGGGAGGGAAGGCGTCTTTGGGGGCTGCGGCCCAGTGAGCTTCCTGCTCCTCGGGCCACAGGCACCTGCGGCGGCCAGAGCACGGAATCCTGCAGCAGCTCCGGCAGCGAGGGGACAACGTGTACGTGGTGACGGAGGTGCTGCAGACGCAGAAGGAGGTGGAGGTCACCCGGACCCACCGGCGGGAGGGTTCGGGCCTCGTTTCCCTGGCCGGAGCCATGTGCTTACAGGTGTGTAGGTAGCCCCGTGGAGCTGAAGTCCCCGGCGGCCAGCCCACACCCGCGCCCCACAGCCTGGTGCCCTGGTGGCCGGCCTGGCCCCCAGCACCCAGCCCACACCCGCGCCCCACAGCCTGGTGCCCTGGTGGCCGGCCTGGCCCCCAGCACCCAGCCCACACCCGCGCCCCACAACCCGGTGCCTAGGGCCCGGCCCTGAGCCCATCTTCATGCCTCAGGGTGAGGGCGAGGGCCACCTGAGCCAGAAGAAGACGGTCACCATTCCCTCGGGCAGCGTCCTCGCATTCCGGGTGGCCCTGCTGGTTATTCGCTCTAACTTGGGTGAGCTGGAGTTGGGGGTGTCTCGGGCCCAGGCTCTGGCAGAGAAGCAGGGAGGCCTGGGGAGAGCTACCTGTTGGCTCGGGCTGCTGTGGGCCCCTGGCTGGACAGTTGACTGTGTCTGGCAGGCGGCTGAACTCCTTGGCTCTGGTGTGTGGGTGAAGGGGCAGGGGAGCTCCCGGTAGGGAAGGGGAGGGGAGGCTGGGAGCTAGGTGACATGCCTGTCCCTGTCTGCTCCCTCCTGGCTGCCAGAAGTCATTCTCTTCCCGGATAAGAAGCAGAAGACCTTCCAGCCGCCCCCGACAGGTGAGAGCCGAGAGCCCCCAGCGTGGGGTGTCCAGTGGAAAAGCGCACTCCCTTGGCAGTTGAGGGCTTCTCCCCCGGCGCTCAGGGCTCAGGGAGGTCGGGCAGCCCCCTGAGGCAGTGGTAACCCCCATACACACACAAGGGGTGACACGGGACAGCTGAGCCTGGGCCTTCCTGGCCACCCTCCCTGCCCTGCCAGTGTTAGAGGTGGTGACCCGGGCTGTGAGGGCCAAGGAAGGCCACAGCCCCCCATTCCCTGCACTCACCAGCCCTGCCCTCCCGTGCCCCTGCCCAGACCATAGGCCTTTCAGCAACCAAGGCTCCCGGCGGGTGGCCCTCTCCGTGAAGGGGTACATCGGCAGCTTATGGACAGGTCAGTGGCCTCCTGACGGCCCCTGGGACCTTTGGTGGGCTCTTCTTCTGCCCTCTGGGGTCTGCCTGTCCTGACCGGGGCTTTCCGGGGCCCTGTAAGCTCCCAGCCCTCTGTCCCTACAGATGGGGTCCCTGCGAATGGGACGGTTACTGAAGACTTCCAGGGCCTTCGGGCAGAGGTGGAAGCTGTCTCCAAGGAACTGGCGCTCATGGACGGGCAGCTGTGCCAGCTGCTGCTGGAGGGCCTGGAGGGGGTGCTTCGGGACCAGCTGGCCCTACAAGCCTTGGAGGAGGCGGTGAGCCGGGGAGGGTGCCCGGGGCACACGGGGCCCGCCCAGCCAGCCAGGCTCATCTGCCCTTCCCGTGCCCGCAGCTGGAGCAGGGCCTGAGCTCCGGGCCGGTAGAGCCCCTGGGTGGTTCGGCAGGTGCTATCCTGGATTGCCTGACGTTCCCCTCCGGAATGCTGGTGCCGGAACTCGCCGTCCCTGTTGTCTACCTGCTGGGGGCACTGAACGGTGAGCAGCCCCTGGGAGTGGGGCAGGTGGGGGGTGGGAAGGAGGGAGGTGGATTTTCCCCGGTGGGACTTCAGGAACCCAACTCTTACCCGACTCTCTCCCAGCGCTGAGTGAAGCCCAGCACCGGCTGCTGGTGGAGGCTGTGACGTTGAAGACCCTGCCAAGGCAGCTCGAGCTGGTGAGAGGGTTGGGCTGGGGGAGGGTGGGCTGAGCCAGCGGAAGGGGGCCCTGCTACACCTGGGGTGGGGTGGTATGGGCAGGCACAAGGTGCCCAGGGCTCCCAGCTGACACACTCCTGCCCTGCCCTGGCAGGTGGGCAGCCTCTTGGAGAAGAGTGCCCCGTGGCAGAAGTGCAGCACCGTGTCCCTGCCCCCCGAGCTCCGGAAGAGCGGCTGGGGTGGGGAGACACCAGCCTGGGTCTTGCTGGAGGAGTGTGGCCTGGAGCTGAGGGAAGACCCCCCGCACGTGCGCTGGGAGCCACAGGCCCAGGGCCGCGCGTGTGCGCTCTACGCCTCCCTCACGCTGCTGTCAGGACTGAGCCGGGAGCCCCACTAGCCTGTGCTCGGGCATGCCCTGGCAGCTCTCCAGCAGGGCAGAGTGTTTGCCCACCAGCCACCAGCCCTGGGAAGGCCAGGAGCCCAGCAGCCACGTGGTCAGTGTCCTGTGGGGCTCAGGAGTCCGGGAAGCTCAGTAAAGTTGGCGTGCGAAGGCAAGGCTGGTAGCAGAGTTTTTGGGGGTCTTAGATGTGGGGTGGGGTGGGTTGGGGTGAGGACAGTACCCACGCAGTGTCAGGAGGGACATCAGGGCCATGAGCAGGTGATGTCTGCACCGTCCAGCTCCTCTGCGCCCTGGAGCTAAGGCTTGGCCTCTCTCGAGTCACGGGCCCGTGGCCCTGCCCAGCCCCACCTGTGTGCTTCTCTGCCTGCGATTCAGGTGAGGAGGTTTCACCAGGTGGAAGCAGGGCAGGAGCGTCTGGGGACATGCTGCAGAAAGGCGTGGCCCATCCTCAGCCCTCAGGGGCTTTAGGGGGTGCAGGTGTGGCTGGGAACAGACCCCCCCCCCACCCTCCTAGGGCCACACAGGAGGTTCCTGGAGAAGCCCTACTGAAGAAACTGACGTTTGGTCTGTTTCCCCCCCATCTGCTTTCCTGAGCTAAGTGTAGAACAAACTCAACACCTCTCAGCCTCGCCCTTCTGGGAAAACCCTTTCAGGTGACTTGAAAGGGTGAGTGTGGCAGGAGTAGCCCGGGTCCCAGAAAGTTTTTGAAGAGGTGGGCACAAAAGGCGTAGCCTCGAGACCGTCAGGGCCGGGCCACGTGACAGGCCACACCTGACCCCATCTCGAGAGTTGCACCAATGAGCTCTCTGGCAACACTGCCCATTAGAGATCATGTGGGCATCCAGGCCGAGACTGCCCGGCTCACTGGCTGGAGGTGGAAAGGGAGCGAGTCCGTCGGGTGCACCTGCCCTTTTGTCCTGCAGTCTTAGCCTCCATTGGAAGATTTACCCCGGGGTGGGCTCTCTACAGGTAGATCTAATGGACCCTGGGGGCCACAGCATCCCCACGGAGGCACCAGGCCACTGTGCTACCTGAAGCCTCCCAGGAATTACAACAGGGAAGAGTCACACTCCAGAGGCCATGTGGACTTTGCATGAACCTCACTCATCCTGGCAGGGCTGCCGGGTTCTAGGCAGGGCCAGAGCAAGACGGGGCTGAACACACTCCTAACAGGCAGCCGCGTGGTGCAAGCCACGCCTGGGCGGTTAACAGCCTGCTGCAGGATGGCACGGACTCTCCCGGGCACCATGGTGGGGAGGAGCACAGAGGCGCTGCCTGCCCCCCACAGCCACCTCCCCACCTGAGCCTCCATCTGGGGCGAGCACAGCATCACCATTGGGTTTGCTCAGCAGACTCTCCAGCGTGCTGTGGGGTGCAGGTGAGCACTGTGCTTGGTGGGAGGGGTGGGCTGTGCATGGTCGCCCTGAGGTCTAACACCTGCTTGCAAGGTGAACGAGGCCAGGCTGGCTTCCCTCTTTGCGGCTGCTTCTGAGAGGACCCATGTCGCTGGGTCCTGAAACCCGTCCCCACCTGTGCCCCCACCTCGGTGCTCCCAATCCATCCTGGGTGGTGCGGACCTCAGACAGATGACTGGCTTGAGAGCTTCTGAAGGTTCCTGAGGCTCCAGGCCTGCATCCTTTCTGCTCAAGAATGTTGACCTGTCTCTCTGCCACTCCTGCTGTGCTCTCTCAGCCAGGCCATCACGCCCCCTGTTCATCATGTCAGGCCCCACGGAGCCTGGTCTTTTCCAGAAGCTGGCCCCAGCCTCCCTCCCAGCTGGACCACATGGGCCTGGGATCACACCTGTGACATCACACACACTGGCCACGGACGTCCGTGGTGCCCTCTCCCACCTTCTCTTGAGCTATTTCTTATACATTGAATCCCATTTTGGTATCTGCCATGGAGGATACAAACTAACCCACCAAACCTTGCCCCTGGCTCCACAAGGACGCATGTCCTGGGCCTGATCCTCAGCTTCCTGTGTAAACCTGCAAAGAGACCCTGACCCCACAGCTGACAGTTCTAACTACATCTATTCAGTGCCTGTTGGCCCAGAGCACAGCTTCTGTCTTACGGTTAACACAGCCCGACCTGGCCACAGCCTGTGCCTGGAGCCTGCCTGACCTTTAACCCTGCTGCCAAACCGGCTCTTACCTGGGGCCACATCAGGGCCTGTGGCCTGTTACCCTAGTCGGAGCCAGATCTTGGACCAGTTCAGTTCCCCAAAACCACACTCAAAATAGGTGCCCAACGCTTTCCATCCACATGTTTATTTTAGGCGCTTTCCGTGCAGCAGCTGGGGAGACAGGTCAGCAGGACCCCGTGCCTACCCCCAAGGGGAAATGGCCCCAGCCCTTCACAAGGCTGCCCACACTCCCTGTGCATGTGTGGAGGCTTCTGTGAGGAGGAGGCTGCAAGAGGACCCTGAATGTGAGGACATGTGCAGGCAGGCATCCTAGGTTGCAGGAACCTGCCGTCCAGAGCCAGAGGGGTGAGGTCACAGCACTGGCAGCTCCCAGAGCAGCCTCTTCCTCATGTGTCCAGTGGCATCTTCCTCATTCAACCCTGGGAGGGGTGATGGGGATTGTCACCAGTGCTCAGTCTGATTGGGCTTGCACATGGCACCCCACATCTGGACCCACAGATGGGATCTCGAGCTGACATGGTCCAGCTGGGAGGGAGGCCGGGGCCCGCTTCTGAAGGCCAGGCTCCCAGGGGGCCTGACATGATGAACGGGGGCATGACGGCCTGGCCGAGAGGGCACAGCAGGTGTGGCAGGGTGACAGGTCAACACTCTTGAGCAGAGAGGACACAGGTCAGGAGCCTCAGGATGCCGGCAAGGAATGGGTGCAGGACGAGGATGGGGGTGGCCGGCTGCAGGGCCAGCCAGGCCACAGAGTCCTGTCCAGGCATGAGGTGGAGACCCAGGAGGGCACCCTATGGGATCACCAGCTTCAGGGTCCCCCACCAGATTCAAGGTACCAGATGCCATCTGGGCCAGGAGCCATGCCCAACTGGGGCACGAGGGACGCTCCAGGGGGCTGGGAGAACAAGAGGCCTGATGGGAACAGATGGGTGCTGGCTGCCCCTCTCTGTAGCGGTCAGGGTGCCTGAAGAGGGGTGGGGGGGTAGTAGGTGGGGGGGGGACGGGCACCGGTGTCCAGCACCAGGCCCAGGGAGCCCCTCGGTCGGGGCGAGGACGGGCTGCTGTGCGCGTGGGGTGCCCAAGTCGGATCCCGGCCTGCGGGCCCAGCCCTGAGCCTCAGGCTCAGGCTGGGCGGGGTCCGGAGCAGCCCCAGCGGCCTGCGAGGCTCCTACGCTGGAAGGGGCTGTCGGCGAAGACGGGTGGGGGCCGGGCGGGGCGCGGGGCAAGGCGGAGGAGGCGGAGGAGGCGGAGCCCGCGGGGAGGGCCCCCGGCGCGGGCCAGCAGCACCACCTGCTGAGCGGACACGTGCGCCGCCGCGGCCACGGCCGGCTGGGGGTCGTCCTGGAGCCGCCCTAGGTCTGCGGGGAGATCACAGCTCAGACGGGGGCGCCCAGGACGGCCGAGTGCCCAGGCCCCTGGCCCTCCACCCACCGCTCCCGTCCACTCCGCCCTAGAACCCGCCACTTCTCCGGGATCCCACTCCCTGGCAAGGCGGGGCCTGACCGTGGAACAGCGAGTCCAGCAGGTCCTGGTTGACGCAGCCGGGGCTGGCATGGTGGACAAGGAAGCCTGGACCACAGCAGATGCATGAGTGCAGGCCCCACACCCCGCAGGGCAGGGCTGGCCCAGCTCCCACAACCCGGGTGCCAGGAGCAGTGTGCCCCGGGAGGCCTCACCTATGAGCACGGTGGCTGCCCGGCGCAGAGGGTCCTGGGGACTCCGCAGGTAGCCTTGAGTCTGGCTCAGGAAGTTAGGCACGTGGCCCGGGTACCGCCGAACCTAGGGAAAAAAGGGCCAGTGGCAGGACAGGAGGGCGGATCCTGAGGGTGGAGGAGGTTGCAGAGCTGAATCCAGGGGCGGGTGGTCCAGGGGAGCCCCCAGGGCAGGTGGCATGGTCCGAGGCTTGGACTTGCCGCACAGCAGCCTGACTATCCGGTTTGGGGGTCCCGGTGAACCCTGGAACAAGTGGGCAGCTGATCATACCCTCTCGAGGTCACCTTGCTTCCCTACTGACCAGGCGGCGGCAAACGTGGCTCAGGGCCTCGGGGCTATCATAGCGGGCCACGGTGACCATCTCCTCCAGCATGCCCCAGCTAAAGGCCTGGTCGCAGCGGGCCAGGGTCCACTCTGAGCTCTGGGATAGGGGGAGGGAGCCGGGTCAGGGGTCCAGGAAGTAGAAAGGCAAAAGGTGGGGTAGGAAGAGGGGGAGCAGGGGCATCGGGCTAGGGACAGAAGAGCCCAGGGCAGGGGGCGGGAGTGAATCTGCCCAAGAAAAGAGCAGTAGCAATCTGGCAGCCCGTGACGCCTGCCCCTGAGGTCCTTGGGGTGGGGGAGTCCCTGATCTGTAATCGACGGAGGGGCGGCGCCATGGGAGTGGGGAGTGTTGGCTGGCATAGGGTGGGAAGGTGTGGGGCGGCTGACCTCAGCAGCATCTGGGCTGGGGTCATGCAGGCGCAGCAGCAGCGGCACGAGACTCTGCAGCACCAGCCTCCGCAGGGGGCCGCGGAGCCCAAGCCGGAGCATGCCCCGGCCCCGGCGCACCAGAGTCCCGAGGAGCCCGACCGCCGAAGCGCGGACTGAGTCCCGGGTCTGCATGGAAGGGCGCAGTCAGGGCGGACAGAGGCTGAGAGCGACTGCAAGGGTGGCAGGGGGCGGCCAGGGCGGAGCGAGGAAGCAGGGGGTCTCGGGAAGGCTGCTGACTGGGTGTGATCTGGGGACAGGGCCTGGAGCTGGACCTGGTCGGGAAGCCCGGGGAACCCCTGGAGGGCTGGCCCTAGGGAATGGGGTCTGGAAGGAAAAGTCTAGCGGGGAGGAGCTTGACGGGACAGGATCTCGGAGGGCGCGCCTGGGGGGGCGGAGCTGGGCGACAACAGGAGGCAGGGCGGGTGGGCTGGGCGGGCTGGAGGGAACAGGCCTCGGAGGGAGAGACCGGAGGGGCGGGGCCTGGGAGGCAAAAGCCGGGGAGGGAGCCTGGGGGAGGGGCCGGGAGGGGGAATAGCCAGGGGTCAGGGCCTGGTGAGGCGGGGCCTGGGAGGGAGAGACTGGGGGCGGGGCCCGAGGGGCGGGGCCTGGGAGGGAGAGACTGGGGGCGGGGCCCGAGGGGCGGGGCCTGGGAGGGAGATGCTGGGGGCGGAGCCCGAGGGGCGGGGTCTGGGAGGGAGCGGTGGGGGCGGGGCCTGGGAGGGAGCAGTGGGGGCGGGGGCCTGGGAGGGAGCGGTGGGGGCGGGGCCTTGGAGGGAGTGGTGGGGGGCGGGGCCTAGGAGGGAAAAGCCGGGGAGGGAGCCTGGGGGAGGGGCCGGGAGGGGGAATAGCCAGGGGTCAGGGCCTGGTAAGGCGGGGCCTGGGAGGGAGAGACTGGGGGCGGGGCCGAGGGGCGGGGCCGAGGGGCGGGGCATTGCTCACGTGGTCCAGCAGCGGACGGAGGCGCGGCCCCAGCTCCGAGCTCAGGAGCCGCACAGGCGCCCGGGGCCGTAGCAAGAGCCTCTTCAGGGCGCCCAGAGCTGCACCCACGAGCCGCGCGTCGCCTTCGCCCAGTGCGCCCAGCAGTGCCGGCAGCAGCGCGCTCACGTGCCGCACCTGCAGGGACTCGTGGTCAGCCTCTCGCAGACCTTGCCGCGGCCGGGTCAGGCTGCCCTCCGCCCCTTCCCTTGTCTCACCTTCCTGCGATTCAGCGCGAGGTGGCCCAGGCCCAGCAGGCCCAACCAGCGCACGGTGGGCTCGGGGTCTCCCTGCCAGGTGAGAAGTCGCTCCAGGATAACCTCCTCCCGCAGGAGCCGTGCGGTCGGCCGGCTCTGCAACAGCTAGGCGAGGCACACGGGGTCAGCTGCTGCGGCTTAGGATCAAGTCCACAGTCACCCTTCGCCACCCATTCGGGAAGCAGGCTCACCCCGGTGAAGAAGGCCATAGCCGTGAGGCGCTGCGGGTCGTCGGCGCTGCGCAGCCGGGGAAGCAAGTCCGCGAAGAGGCCTCGCAGGTGGTGGTCGGCGTGTGCCACCATGGCACTGGGGTGGGTGGAAATGGGAGCTCTCGCTCCGCCTGGCGGCCTTACTCCTCAAGAAAACCCCATCCCAACACCACCCTCGTGCCGCTGCCTTTTCCCTGTCCCCCCGCCTAGCGCCAGCACCTGGCCAGCAACGAGTCTCCTCCCGGTGTGACATCCTGCGGCCCCTCCTCACCTCGCCAGCAGCAGGACACCCTCCAGGTGGGTGTGGGCTCCCACCAGCCTCCTCCAGCCTCCCGCCTGCTCCATGCACGTGACCACCATGCGGCCTCCATCCCCAGTGAGCAGAGCCTTCAAGGCCTCCACAGCGCAGCTGGCGGTGGGGACAGTGAGCAGGTGGGCGGTGGGGCTGAGAGGGTGGCAGCATGCTGGCCCGTCCCACATACCCTGGTGTTGCCTCTCACCTGGCATGGCTGTGTGGTGGCCCTCGGTGGGACAGAATCCAAATCTTGGGCATGTCAGGGGAGCGAGGGCTGCGGGCCAGCTCGTGCAGCTGTGTGACTAGTGCAAGCAGCAGATGAGAGTAGAAGCCCCTTGTGGCTCCCACGCAGCCTGAAACAGCCAGCATCTCCCCAAGAGCACGAGTGGCCTGTGGAGCAAGTGGCTCACTCAGGCCCTGGGCGCCAGGAGTTGTGTTGGACAGCAGAGGGACAGGCATGCCATAGACAGGGCAGGGACTAAGCCTCAGACACGCATGGGACATTCCCGGAGGAGTGACCCAGGTGCAGACTCCCAGTCACCGCCCTCCTCCCCACCACCCTGCGCCCGTGCCTGGGTAATGGCTGGAGCCACCTACCGCCAGTGCCTGGGGCTCAGACCCTGAAGCACCCTTCAGTGCCCACAGCAGTTGTACCAGCACCTGCCCATTTACACGCTGGTTACGGCTTAGGCTGCGCCAGAGCTCGGCCGCTGCCCTGAGGGTTTGGAGGGGGCTGGTGTGAGACAAGGGATGGTGCAGGGTGGCTGTCGAGGAGAGGTAAGGGGTCCCCAGCTAGGGTGGAGGCAGCCACTAGGACTCCAGCAGGGGAGGAGCAGGAAACCACTACCCTGGTCTCCCCCACCCCTGAATCCCAAATAAACAAATGAAGTGTTAATTGTGCAGACCGCAAAACAGCCTGTCTCAAGCTCAGCTGCCGGGTGGGGACCCGCTGGGAGTCCTGTTGGGTCAGCGACAGTGAAGCAAACTTGGCATTATTATTATTTTTTTTAATCGCTACAGAAAATAAAATCAACGATAACTTCGGGGGAAAATTAGCCAAAGAGCCAGGGGTGTCCAGGCACGTTAGCCCCCCAGGCTCACTCACGCACTCCGGAGCCAACCCCAGCGTGGTCTCCAGGGGAGGCTACCTGGAGCTGGAAGACGGCTCCCAGAGGAGCCCAGCCTTAGAAACTGTGGCGGGAGGGTGGGCGGAGTTTGCAGAACTAAGTGAGGGGAGCAGGAACGGATACGGAGCAGGAGACACCACGGGGATGGGTTAAGGAGGCCCTGCTCCCTTTCAGCTCCCCTGTCTGGGCCAGACTCCACCGCCAAGCGGGAAGGGGGAAGGAAGCCGCGTGGGGGCCGCAGGGCCAGGCGGGTTGGGTTACCGATCTGGGGGCAGAGAGCGGGGCAGCAGCGCACACACCACGTCCTGCGCATGCTCCAGGGCCAGCGCACTCAGCACTCTCAGGGCCGCCCTCCGGGGCCTCCCCTCTGCCAGGCTGGGCACCTGCGCCAGCAGCCCTCGCACCAGAGCATGCACCTGGCGGGGAGAAGCGGACTTCAGCAGTCAGGCCTCTTCCACTGTCCATTCCCTCTCACCTGTACCCACCTCACACTCCCCCTAACCCCACCTGGCTGGAGCAGCCTGAAGGTGGCAGGGTCAGGCTGTGCTCTCCAGGCTCCTCCCACCACCTTGGTGCCAGGACCAGCAGGAGTCTGTAGGGCATGGAGTGGGTGGAAGCTGACCTGGTCCTCCAGCCGTTCCCCCCGGGCCTCCAGGGCTGAAGACAGGGTGAGCGCTGTCGCCTGGGTCCCTGCAAAGCCAGCCTCCTCCAGGCAGGCAGCCGTGTACAATGCCAGGTCAGCAAGAACCCCCTCCTCCCAGGAACTCTGGGGAACCTAGGGCAGGATGGATGGGGTGTCTGAAGTGCCCAAGCCTCTCCTAGCTCTCCTCCTGGTCCCTCAGCTTCCCACCCGGCTTCCTACAAAGTCCCTTGCTCCTCTGTTGCTCACCAGTCTGTTTCACCCTGACCTCCGCCAGGCCCAGCACGTCCCATTCCACCTAACCTTCACAGGAGCCCCGGCGGTCCACACGGCATCTCTTCCCTCATCCCTCACCTGGTGGGGCCCCTCAGGGGAGCGGGGCTCGCTGCCAGCTTCAGGGACGGTGGCCCCACACCCAGGCTCAGTCTCGGCATGGGTGGCGAGGGCCTGGGTCTGTGGCTCAGCTTCAGGTTTGAGCTCCCAGGGCTCAGGCTGAGGGCCCGTGGAAGGGGGTTCCCGAGACCACCCCTGCCTGGCCCGAATTCCTTCGGCCACAGCTGTCAGGGTTAGAGCCCCGACGGGCGTCTCCTGGACCCAGCCCCACACACCCCCAGCCATAGCTGCCTTTGCCGGTAGCACCTGCTGCTGCTCCTCCTGGGAAGTCGTGCCCAGGCCTGACCTAGAAGCTGGCCCGGGCGGGACCATGGACAGGCGTGGTGGCGCGTGCGCAAGCGTGTGGGGGCTGGGGAGCCACACGGAGGTGCCTGCTGTGGGCCTGTGAGGGGCCCTCCTGCCCCGGCTGCTGCAGGGGAGTGGCCAGCCTGGAGCCTGAGTGTCGTGGTCTGCCTCTCCCCACCAGGGCCCTGGCAACAGGATCCCCCAAGAGCTGGCGGAATCACAAAGAAAGGGGAGAAGGCCCTAACCCTGACTACCAGCCCCTCTTGGCCGGGGGCTCGGGGCAGCTGTGGACAGCCCTGAGGAGGTCCTACCTGGGTCCAGGAGTCTGGGCCCCGCCCTGAGCTGAGGCCTGATTCAGCCCCTGACCAGCAGTCAGCTCCCCACTGGGCCTGGGGCTAGGGGCTGGCCCTGCCCCCTGCCCACTGGCTCTGTCAGACACCCTGGAACGGGCATGACTGGGTGGGCTTGGGGCAGCCCGGAGGGGTGGAGGGGCAACAAAGGTGCCAGAGGAGCAGTGGCCCCTCCAGAGCTTATGCAGGTGCCTACCACTGTTGAGGGGGGGGGGCCCTTCTGGGTCCTGGCTAGTTTTGAAGCGTATCCCCACCCAAATCTCCTGTTGAAATGTAATCCCCAGTGCCGGAGGGGGAGCCTGGTGGGAAGTGATTGGATGCTGGGGTGGACTTCCCCGATGACAGAGTTCTCAACATCTGGTTGTTTTAAAGTGTGGCCCCACCCCACCCCTTCCTCCGGCTCAGGCCTTGTAACACCTGCCCGCTTCCCTTCCGCCATGACGTTGTTTCCTGAGGCCTCCTCTACAGCCTGCAGAACCATGGGCCAGTTAAACCTCTTAAAAAAAAAAAAAAAAAAATACTAGTTTTGGCTGGGCGTGGTGGCTCCCACCTGGAATCCCAGCACTTTGGGAGGCAGACGAAGGTGGATCACGAGGTCAGGAGTTTGAGAGCAACCTGGTCAACATGGCAAAACCCTGTCGCTACTAAAAATACAAAAATTTGGCCAGGCACGGTGGCTCACACCTGTAATCGCAGCACTTTGGGAGGCTGAGGAAGGCAGATCACGAGGGCAGGAGATCAAGACCATCTTGGGTAACACAGTGAAACCCCATCTCTACTAAAACTACAAAAAATTAGCTGGGTGTGGGGGCATGCACCTGTAGTCCCAGCTACTCAGGAGGCTGAGGCAGGAGAATCGCTTGAATCTGGGAGGCAGAGGTTGCAGTGAGCTGAGGTCATGCCGTCACACTGCAGCCTGGGCAACAAGAACAAGACTCTCGGCCGGGTGCGGTGGCTCAAGCCTGTAATCCCAGCACTTTGGGAGGCCGAGGCGGGTGGATCACGAGGTCGAGAGATCGAGATCATCCTGGTCAACATGGTGAAACCCCGTCTCTACTAAAGGTGCAAAAAATTAGCTGGGCATGGTGGCGTGTGCCTGTAATCCCAGCTACTCAGGAGGCTGAGGCAGGAGAATTGCCTGAACCCAGGAGGCGGAGGTTGCGGTGAGCCGAGATCGCGCCATTGCACTCCAGCCTGGGTAACAAGAGCGAAACTCCGTCTCAAAAAAAAAAAAAAAAAAAGAACAAGACTCTGTCTCAAAAAAATCATAAAATAAATTACCCAGCCTCAGGTACTTCTTTACAGCAACAACGGATGAACACTCCCCGGCTGGGCCCCTCGGAGTGCCAGGGTGCCCTGTGGGTGCCTGGGCGTGCCGTGTTCCGCCCAGTGTGTGTGAGTCTGTATCTCTCTCTAGCTCATACTCCCTGGGGCTGGCTGGATGGGCCCCTGCTCCAAGTCCCCACCCTCCACCCTCAGCCAACCACACAGTGGCTACTGCCCAGCCCTGAGCCCTGGGGAGCCAGATGAGCTGGTCTGGTGGAATGCCTGGGCAGGCGGAAGTGCCCCTGACGCACACCAGGCAGTCAGCATTCCCTCCACACCCTTGCCATCTGTGCCCCCTCAGGCTTCTTGGACAAGTGAGGCCCAGGCCCCCAGCCTCCACTTCCTGCCAAGCCTAGAACCCCTCTCCCAAGCAGTTTCTCTGAAGCCCGTGCTGCCCAAACTGGAAGAACCCTGAGATCAGGAACTTGCTGGCGCAGAGTCAGGGCCAGCCCAGTGCACAGCCAGGCACAGCACCACCCGGGCTGGGTGTCTGCAGTTGAGTCAGCTCCTGGAGCTTCTGCTGCTTCCCCATGCTTCCTCCCCTTCCCTGGGCTGCTGGGTCGGGAGCTGTGTCCCTGAGGCCTGGCTGGCCGGTGACAGATGCCAAGGTGGTGCCAGGTTGGCAGCAGCAGTGGCAGGAGACACCTGAGCTCTCACTTTTGGACTGTGGAGTTTGAAATGTCCTTGCTGACCCTGAGCCTGGGGGCAGTGCCTAGGCAGGTGTGGGAGCCCAGGGCCACAGCTGGACCCTCTGACCTGGCACCCCCCCACCCTGTCCCGCCCCCAGCCTGCGTCTAGCAATGAGGTGTCTTCCACAGCAAGTCCCTCCCTGCCTGTGGCCTTGCAGCTCTAGTGTGGGATCTGACTCCCCACAGCCCACCCCAGCTGGGGACTCCTGGCTGCCCTTCAGGCCTCAGTGCAGGGCTGTCTCCCACCCCAGCAGGACCCCTGCTTTCCCTGGGGTGCAAACCCTCCTGCTCCTCGAGCTCAGATTCCCGACTCCAGCCCAGCCCCCGCCCCAGCCCCAGCCCGGGAGGCCCTGGGGCCAGGTGAACGACACAGGACAAGCCGTGGGGTTAGCAAGTGACTCGTGTTGTTTCCAGGCAGCCCCGCTGAAGACTCAGGGGGATGCCCCCACACGCAGACTGTCCACCAGGGCCTGTAGCCGCTCCGACAGCGCCACCTGCAGGGAGCAGAGGAGGGGAGAGGTGGGTGGGGGCGTGGGGGCACCCAGGGCAGGACACCAGGGCGGGCATCCCCCCACCTGGTACTGTGCCGGGCTCTGCAGCCGCCTGTGCGCCGGGCTGAGTTGGCTCAGGGACAGCTGGGCCAAGGCTCTAGACTCCGCGAGGGATGGGAGAGGCTCACACAGCTGCAGGGAAGAGGCAAGGAAAGCAGCTCAGGGCTGGCTCCCGGCGAGGGCTCCACCGGCGCTGGGGCAGGATGAGGGCAGAGCGGCCACCTGTCCCCGCTGGAGGCAGAGCTGCAGCAGTGGCTCCACCTGCGCTGGCCGCACGGTGCAGGGCTCCTGAGCCCCTCGAGGCCACACCCTCAGCTCCTGCCCAGCCCGTGGCACCGGCTCTTCTGCCAACTGCAGCACATCCATGAGGAGAGACCCTGTGAGGGTGGGGTCGAGAATAAGGGGGGGCCCTGGTGCCCTGAAGGCGGACGATGGGGGGATGGGAGGCGCTCACCGTCAGAGCCCAGGAGCCGGAAAGCTGCCTTGCTCCCAGGCAACGTCTGCTTCTCGGGGTCCTCGGTCAGCTTCATTCGTGGCTGGCCCCCCACGGCCACTAGCTGCGAGGAGAGGGTGTTGAGCTGGCTGGTCCTCATCTCCCACCCCTCACCATCCCTCAGACCTGCCCGACCCGGCCACAGACACTGTCCCCACCTTATAGACGCAGCCCAGGGAAGGCTGTTGGGGGCAGGTGACCACGCTGGTGCCAATGCCAATGACGTTCACCTCGCTGCCCTGGGTGAGGGAGAGGAGGTGGCGGAGAGCCCGGCCAGGACCTGTAAAGGCCCCAGGAGCCCCCCAGCCACCCTCTGCCCACCACTTTGCCCACCTCACCTCCTGGGCCAGTTGTGCCAGCGCCTCCTCGTCAATGTTGTTGCTGACCGCAATGGGGACTGACTCCAGCCAGGGCACCTGGAACCTGCGTGTGGGCGGAGAAAGGGTGGGGGCTGCCCCTCAGGTCTTCTGATTCACCTAGTGCTCCCCACCCCCCACGGCCTCAGTCAGGGACACTCGTGCTCACCTTCTGCTTAGGAGCCCCGAGGAAGCCCCACCCCTTACCTCCCTGCCAGGGCCTGCGGACTTCCTCACTGTCCCTCCCTGCCCACTCCCAAATCCTGGCTCCCTGGGGGTCTCCCACCAGGCAAAGCTGCTCCCCGGAGAACTCACTGGGCAGCAACGGTTCGGAAGACCTGGCGGATCTCCTGGGCCTGCTGCAGCAGGTCACCGCTGTCCAGCCTCACGCCCACTGCCCGGTAGCCCAGCTCTCCCAGGGCCAGCGAGACTGCCAGGAAGTTGGGGAGACCACTCCTGCGGGGACAAATAAGGGGGTCAGGGACTGCCAGGGTTCTGCTGAGCCCACTCCTAGAGTGCTGGGACTCACCTCCGCACGCTGTAGGAGTCCAGGAGGCCCTGGAAGGCCCGGGGAAAGGCCAGGGCATAGGCCACGAAGGCTGCCCGCTCGCCTGGGTGTGGCTCCTGCACCCCCAGCCCCAGGTGGGCACACACGCGCTCCAGCCACACCTGGGCTTTGGCCGCCAGGTCCACCCCAGGGCCCTCCCCAGCCGCTGGCGCCAACATCTGTGGAATGGGTTGGTGAAGAATGGGGGCCAAGAATGCTGGGTGAGGCCTGGGAGCAGCCAGGGCCACCCCGGTTTGAGGGCAAAGGTAATGCAGGCTGTGCCAGCTTCCTGGGACAGCACTGGGGTGACCTTCCCCGGGTGGCATGCCTCTCTCCTCGGCAAGGGCTCCTTAGGGCCTGTCGCCTGGAGACAGCAGGGTTGAAGAGGAGGGACTGACCGGGTCAGGGGGCAGCTCGCTGCCTGAAAAGGAGGTGACGAAGGAGTGGGCCAGGGTCCCGGCCACTGGCACACCTCGAAGCTGGCCCGCTAGCACGTTGCTGCTACTGTCAAAGCCTGGGGAGGAAGGCAGTGGGATGGGGGGACTCCCGGCCAAGCCGGGGCTTCGCCTTCCCGGCCCTCGCCTTCCCCGGCACCGGACCCTCACCGCCCAGGTAGCTGTAGGTGGAGGCCGTCAGGCCCCCGTCCGGGCCCTGAGCCCGCCGCAGGCCCATCTCTAGCAGCCGCTTCTCTGGCCCTGCGATCAAGCGAAGCCGCGCAGCGTTGGTGGCCACCAGGCTGTGGGGAGCCAAGAGTCAGGGGGTGTAGGGTGGGGGTGGCCAGACCACCCAAGATGGCAGAGTTACCTGGGGCCTGGAACTCCCCGCCCCGGAGCTCTACCCTCACCCGGCCCCTCCTTACACCCTGCACAGTGGGGGCGGGAGGCCAGCCCTGGGACCCCTGGGCAGCCAGCCCCACGCCCGTGTCCAGCGCAGAACCCCGCCGCTGGGGCCGTCCCAAGCCCACCTGGCGTAGCTGACCAGGCAGAGCAGCGGCGTCTCCAGAAGCTGCACCACCAGGAGCGGCCCGGACACCTGCAGCAGCGGCACCTGCGACGAGCGAAGTCAGCTCTGCGCCCGACATAGCCCCCGCGCCCCCGCCCCGCCGGCTCACCCCTACTCACGCCTGGGAAGGCCAGGGAGCCCTCGGGCAGGGCCCGCACCGTCACCTCGGAGCAGTCGAGGGCCCGAAGGTGCTCGAAGAACGCGGGGTCCGTGTCTGGAGGCAGCACCGAGGCCAGGAACTGCACGTCTGGAAACCAGGTTACTGCGCTGAGACCACAGGTGACCTGCAGGCCCTGGCAGGAAGGTGAGGGGTGGGGATCCCTAGGGGCTCCTAAGCAGAAGGTGAGCGCAGGTGTCCCTCACGGAGGGACAAACTGGTTGTGGGCATGGGCGTTCCATCGGGCGGGAGGGGACTTCCGCAGGCCATAGGGGGCTACATCGGGCGTGGGGCGCTCGTGGGGTGGGGGCTCCCGTCGGGTGTGGGGGGGCTCCCGGGGGGAGGGGTTCCTAGGGGCGTGGGGGGCTCCCGGGGGGAGGGGTTCCTAGGGGCGTGGGGGGCTCCCGGGGGGAGGGGTTCCTAGGGGCGTGGGGGGCTCCCGGGGGGAGGGGTTCCGTGGGGCGTGGGGGGCTCCCGGGGGGAGGGGTTCCGTGGGGCGTGGGGGGCTCCCGGGGGGAGGGGTTCCGTGGGGCGTGGGGGGCTCCCGGGGGGAGGGGTTCCGTGGGGCGTGGGGGGCTCCGTCGGGCTGAGCGGCTACCGGCGTCCCGCAGGCGGAAGGCGCGCAGGAAGCGCACACAGTCGCGCAAGCCGGCGGCCAAGGCGAAGGCGCCGCCGAACGGGCAGCGGCGGAAGAAGAGCTCGAACTCGGCGGCGTCCCGCGCCCGGCCCGCGCGCCAATAGCCCAGCGCCATGGTGGCCTGGTAGAGGTCTGTGAGCAGCGGCCGCGCCGCCGCGCGCCCCTCGGGGTCCTGCTCCGCCGCCATCCCGCTCCCGACGTCTGGACTCCGACCCGCCCCGGCCTGGGCCCCGTGACACGCCCCAGCCTATGGCGCGCTCCCGGCGGGGCTTATCGTAGGGTTTGGGCGCCGCACGGGACGCGCCAGAGGACGGGATGGGTCTGACGGTCTCGGCGCGCTGACGGCGACCGCAACGGCTGGACCTGGGATGGAGTGGGGATGTCACCCAACTCCTCTCGGACCCCCAACCGCACTCCAGGCCCAAAGGCCTCTTTGGAGCGCAGTCCGGTTCCGGTCACCGGAGGTGCTCCCTGTGGCCCGGGGTTCCACCCCTTGGCCGGGTAACGAGGTGCAGCTTTCCAGGAGGCGGAAAGGGTGGAGAACACGCCAGCCAGACTGCACCCGCAGCGACCCAGAGGACGGCAGTTGGCCGCCGGCCAGCCTGTGCCCTGGCCCTGGGGAGCAGAGGCCAGAGGCTACCCCAGCTGGAGCTTGAGCAGCCACGCTGGGACGAGGAAGCCCAGATGGGCATGAATGTCGCTTGGAAAGAGCTTGGCACCCAGGAAAGGCTGGCATGAGGCAGAGGGCGCATGCCCAGCCAGCTGGCACCAAAAGGCCTGTGGCTCTGAAGGCCCCGTGTTCCTCAGTGATGGCTTTTATCGGGTCCTGCACTCCAAGCCCCATGGGAAACCTTCTAAAGTTCTGAGGGTAGTCAGGGCCCTCAGGACCCAGGGGATCCATTCCCTGTGGCTTGGGGCCCTGAGGACAGTCTGACCAGAAGTAATCCAGTAATCACACCCCACCCTCTTTCACCCAGTGCAGACACGGGTGATCCAGGGGAGGGGGCGTGGCCACACAAGCTGACCACATGCGGCTGCCAGGACACCAAGGTACAGCTCCACAGAGCACAGGCAGCCCCACTCTGGCCACCCCGGATCATCAAGGGAGGGGCATAGTCCCTGGATCGAGGGGGCAGGGGCACCAGGACTGAATGAGGGGAAGGCCAGGGCAGCACATGACCAAGGGCACGGCAGCAGGGCCGGCTGCCACTGGGGCCTCTGTCCGGACAGGTCCAGGCTTGCACACTTGCCTCCATAGGGGACAGTGCTGACGGGAGGCAGGGGCGGTGATCTCTCTCCAGATAATAAGCTAACAGATTCTGTTTCTGGCTTTTTAAACCCCCTGAACCGGACTTGCTTTCCATGGAAAGAAGGAAGGGCCAGAGCTTTGGGAGGGAGTGGCCAGGAGACAGAGGGGCAGGCGGAGGTCTGCCCGGGCAAGGTCACATGGCCTCAGAGGGTGGCGGCAGCTGAGAGGACCGTGTGGAGGTGGCAGGGCAGAGATGGGGCTGAGACGGGGAAGGAGACAGGCCAGGTATGGGCAGGAAATGACCAGGACGGGAGCCAGAGGGCCGGTCTCAGTTTTTAATCATGGCAGGGCCTCACGCACACGCACACGCACACGCACACACTCAGGCTTCAGATCTTGTTGAAAGCTGCGATGTCGACGCTCTGCACCTGGGGAGAGGCGGAAGGCGACGGTCAGGGCTGTTTTCCTACACCCATGTGGTGCCAGGAGCCCCCACTGAGGCAGGGTTCACTCTGGGACTCGCTCCCTACTGCTGTGGGGTGGAGCACAGGGTGTGGGTCGGGCCCCAGCCTCCTCACCCCCTTCCCTCCCTAGCCAGCCCACTCACGTGCTCCTCAAACTTGGTGATCTCCTCCTCCAGCAAGTCCGTCCCCACCTTGTCATCCTCCACCACACACTGAATCTGCAGCTTCCGGATACCGTAGCCCACAGGCACCAGCTTGGAGGCCCCCCAGACCAGCCCGTCCAGCTGGATGGAACGCACGCAGGACTCCAGCTGGGCCATGTCCGTCTCATCATCCCACTGTGGGGAAAGGAGAAGAAAAGCTGGGGTCAGCCACCCCTAAAATACCTGTGTGCCCCTCCCCCCACCACTGTGTGCACAACTGTTTCCTTAAAGGGGCCTCAGAAAACAATTCAAATTCACACCTGCATGTCTCCAAGTTCGTGTTTATCCCAGGACTTCTAAACTGGGCTTTAAAGTCTCCCCAGAATCCAGAAGGGCAGGGGCAGGATCACAAGCTGAGCCGGCTGGGCGGGTGCCAGGGCAGTGCCCAGCCACCCAAAGCCCTGCCCTCCCACTCACAGGCTTGACATCCAGCAGGATGGAGGACTTGGCCACCAGCGCGGGCTTCTTGGCCTTCCTCTCCGCGTACTGCCGCAGCCGCTCCTCCCGCAGCTGGGCCGCCTCCTGGTCCTCCTCATTGTCGCTGCCAAACAGGTCAATGTCATCGTCCTCGTCATCCTCTGCTGGTGTGGCTGGCTTCTTGGCTGGGGGCTCCACTTGGCGCATGGGAGACACGTGCTGCCACAGGGGACGGACAAGAGGCAAGGCTGAGACGCCGCAGCCAGGGCCCAGAGCTGCCTGGCTGCCTCCCGGCCCTCCCCCTACCCCACCGGAGGAAGGGCAGGCCCTGCGCCCCCGAGCTGGAGCTCCCAACACACAGGGCCCAGGGAAAGACAGGAGCTGCCTCCACCGCCCAGGGGGTTAGCTGTAACCCTTCCTGAGGACTTGAGGACACCAGTATCCTGGCTGCCAGCTCATCACTGTTGCTGGGGCCAGCGCACAGGGAGACTGGTAAGCCAGCAGGGCCATGTGGTCCCCTCGCAGCATCAGGTTTGGGGAGGGCACGCACCTGGGTCTGCGGGGCTGTGGCCCGGTGGCCGGGTGAGCTCCTCTCCAGCACATTCAGCCGGGCCTCCAGCTTGGAGACAGCCTGCTGCAGCTCCTGCACCACTGTGGGGACGAGGGGGGCATGGTTAGATGGCAGGGGCCAGGGGCAGCCCCTACCCACTGGCCCGGGCCTCACCGCCACGCAGGCTCTGGTTCTCCATCTCCAGACTGGCGATCCGGACGAGGAGCTCGCCGTGGTCTCCGCCGGGGCTGCTGGAGGCCCCGGGGCCTGAGCTCTGCAAGGCAGGAGGAGGGAGGGCTCAGTGCCCCAGCCCGCTCCTGGAGCCCCTTATTCACAGCTCCTGAGTCCCCTCAGAGGCTCTGGTAAGTGTCATTGGGTCCCCCTGCCATGCTCAGGGGGACCTCATGTGGGAACTCACAAAAGGTGCCCCCTGCAAACACCCAGCTCAAATTTACGGGTGGTGACCTCGGAGATGGCAGCCGCCATCGACCACAGTGAAATTCTCAGCCAGGAAGCCCAGGGTTCCCCAGACAGAGGCCATGGGGAGCTGGGCATGGCTGCTGCTGCCTGGTGGGACCCCGCTGAGCAGCCAGCCTCAGAGGCTGGGTGGGAGGTGGTAAAGGGCTCACAGTCCTGGAGACAGCCTGGGACAGGCCTCAGGGGACCAGGCGGCACTCGCAATGGGAGGGGAGAGCAGCTGAGGGCCCAGTGGGGGCAGGAGGAAGGAGCTCGCCTATGTGGGCAGGAGCCACCCACAGCCTCGCCTCCCTGGAACACACGCCTGCCATCTCACTCAGCAAACCAGTTTCTAGATGACCCAGAGCCCCAAGCCCACCTCATACTCTGCCACAGCTCAGCCTGATTGACGCCCCGGGGCCCAGACAGGCTCCCAGCCTCCTGGCCCTTGACATGAGCCAGTCCTTGGGCATCCACCTGCATGCACCGTCCATTCTGCCAGCCTACCCGCCAACGGAATGGCTCTTAGGACAGGGTGCGCCTGGCCTCATGGAGCTCTCAGCTGACTCCATCTCGACAGCTCCCCAGGGTTCCCTCTCTGCGGGGAGGAGCCGCAGCAGCTGGGCAGACACACTCGCTCCTTGTAGCAGGTGCAGACACACTCAAGCCCCGTCCCTGGGGACCTTCTGCCAGTCCTTGGGAACATGCTATGGGGACTGCGTGTTTATGTATCTGAAGAGTGTGGGGGCTGAGCCCCACAGATCATGGGCAAGGCTGAGCCAACACTGTGGCCCAGGAGGCCCACCTGGCAGCAAGGCCAGGAGGAAGTAAGGCCAGGCTGGCAGGGCGTGTGTGGGCCGCTGATCACCACCTGTGGAGGTCCTTCCCGCAGACCTGACTCAGCGACGGATGAGCGGACACACTCACACACCCAGCACAGCGATCTGATGAGCGGACGCACTCACACCTAGCACAGCGGTCTGATAAGTGGACACACTCACACATGGCGATCTGATGAGCGGACGCACACACACACCCAGCACAGCGATCCGATGAGCGGACGCACACACACACCCAGCACAGCGATCCGATGAGCGGACGCACACACACACCCAGCACAGCGATCCGATGAGCGGACGCACACACACACCCAGCACAGCGATCCGATGAGCGGACGCACACACACACCTAGCACAGCGATCCGATGAGCGGACGCACACACACACCTAGCACAGCGGTCTGATGAGCGGACGCACACACACCCAGCACAGCGGTCTGATGAGCGGACGCACACACACACCCAGCACAGCGATCTGATGAGCGGACGCACACACACACCCAGCACAGCGATCTGATGAGCGGACGCACACACACACCCAGCACAGCGATCTGATGAGCGGACACACACACACCTAGCACAGCGATCCGATGAGCGGACGCACACACACACCCACCACAGCGGTCTGATGAGCGGACGCACACACACACCCAGCACAGCGATCCGATGAGCGGACGCACACACACACCCAGCACAGCGATCCGATGAGCGGACGCACACACACACCCACCACAGCGGTCTGATGAGCGGACGCACACACACACCCAGCACAGCGGTCTGATGAGCGGACGCACACACACACCTAGCACAGCGATCCGATGAGCGGACGCACACACACACCCAGCACAGCGGTCTGATGAGCGGACGCACACACACCTAGCACAGCGGTCTGATGAGCGGACGCACACACACACCCAGCACAGCGATCCGATGAGCGGACGCACACACACACCCAGCACAGCGATCCGATGAGCGGACGCACACACACACCTAGCACAGCAGTCTGATGAGCGGACGCACACACACCTAGCACAGCGGTCTGATGAGCGGACGCACACACACCCAGCACAGCGGTCTGATGAGTGGACGCACACACACACCCAGCACAGCGATCTGATGAGCGGACGCACACACACACCCAGCACAGCGATCTGATGAGTGGACGCATTCACACACCCAGCACAGCTATCTGAGCCGGCTGGGGATGCTTGTCTGCTGCTTCCAGAGGGCGACTGCAGCTAACTGAACACGACTCCCTGTTCCCCTGACGTTTACTCAGTATAGATTTGTTAACAGAGGTTCTAAGTCAACACGCTGTGGATAATTAATATGTTAAGAGTGGTTTTGTGTGTGCTGAGAGGGCCATCTAGCACACGGTTTATGTAAGCAGACAAATGAGAGCAGGGACAAAGGAATGTGAGGTAAACAGACTTCGCTGGCGGAGATTTTATCATCTTCATCTTTACCTTATGACTTGAAGTTCTAACATTAAGAACTGGCTGCCTTTAGCCAATCTCGCCGAAACTTTTCCGCTTTCCAAAACGTTGACGACTAGAATCTAACTTCCCCATATTTCCCTTCCCATTTTGCCACCACCTTGAGTGAATCCTAACACATGGGAATGGTAGTGCAGGTGCGGGAGACACTGGCAGAAAACTCTGACAACCTCTGGGGCCGAAGCTGGGGCACAGGAGGGCCAGGCTATGGGGCATGGGGGCGTGGGGCATGGAGAATCACAGCAGATCTCCTGTGGGAGTGGGGCTGGGTCCCTGGAAGCCAGAATCTGTGAGGGGCAGGGCCATGGCACCTGAGGCCTCGTGCAGCCCGCACAGCAGACCCAAGGACACGGAAAAGGTCCCCTCTGGAAGAGGCTTTAAGTCAGCACTGGCCCCAGGATGCATCATGAGCAGTGGGGGGCATTTCACCACCGCCTGGGGTGGCTCTGAGGGCAACTAGGCCAGAGCCCACAGCACTCAGGCCAGAACAGGAGCCCCCTCCCTTGATGCTGACTCCGGAGGGGACTGGGGATATCACACATCCAGGGACCCCGAGCACAGCTTCAGTGGGGCAGGTCATCCAGTGCCGTCACAGCAGGCCCTCAGGGACCCGGGATATGCCAAAGGCAAATGCTTCAATCCACATGTTGGAGTCTTATCCCCCAAATGTGACCTTATTTGGAGACTGGGCCTTTATACAGAGGTAATCGTCACTGAAGGGCTGGCGGCAATCCAATCTGACTGCTGTCTAACATGAAAACATTGGGACACACGCTCTCAGAGGGATGACCATGTGAAGACACAGAGAAGACCGTCCACATGCCAAGGAGCGGGGCCTCAGGAGAAACCAGCCCTGCTGCCACTGTGATCATGGACTTCCAGCCTCCGAGCTATGAAAAAATACAGGTGGTTTAAGTCACCCAGTCTGTGGAACTTGGTTATAGCAACAAACCAGCTCCTAAGCCCTAATAGTGTGCCCACCTGCCTGCCTCAGAGACGGGGACCTCAGGGTTGATCCCACACAGCCAGGGTAAGAAGAGTTCTCACAGCCCAGGGCCAAGCCCTCGTATCCTGCTTCTGGGTACCAGAGCACAATGTGCCTGACTTCGGTGCAAAAATCTGCACTACCTTAACCCCGTGTCTGCCTAGCCTGGACTTGGTCAGGTGCCTGGGCAAGCCAGGGGTGCTGCTGGGTTGGGATCTGGGCAGAACGCAAGGCACAAAGGAGCACCTGCCTGGCAGACAGGAGTGGCAGCCCTCCCTGGGGCCACCGACCCAGGGATGCCCAGATTATGGCCTGGGAGCCAGCACACCCCCAGCTGGCTGTGGCTGTGGCAGACAGAATAACGGCCCCCACAAAGACGTCCACATACAGTCCCCAGGGCCTGCAAATATAGTCCCCATGGCAAAAGGGATTCTGCAGCTGTGATGAAGCGAATCTGAACATGGAAAGGATGCTGGATAACCCAGGTGGACCCATAGAGGCAGGGGGAAGAAGGGAGGGAGGGGAGAGGCAGGCTGAGTGATGAGACAGCTACCTAGGAGCCTTGTGCCAAGGGCTGTGGGCAGCTTCCAGCAGCCAGAAGAGACGAGGAAGCTGACTCTCCCTGCAGAGACACCAGAATGACCACAGCCTTGCCGACAGTTGATTTTGGCCCGTAAGATAGAATCTGAGACTTCTCACCACCAAAACTGCAGGATGAGGCCCTCGCGCTGTTTTGAGCCACTGAAGTATGGCAATGCGAGAGCACGCTGAGTGGAAACCAACACAGATCGTGGCCCTAGGAAGTGGGGTGCTGTGGGAATATCTAGAAATGTGGAGACGGCTTTGGAGTTGGGCAGTGGTGAGGCTGGAAGAACTCTGAGAAGCGTAAGAGAAAAATCCTAGCCTGGGCCGGGCGCAGTGGCTCACGCCTGTAATCCCAGCACTTCGGGACGCCTAGGCAGGGGCATGACTTGAGGTCAGGAGTTTAAGGCCAGCCTGGCCAACACTGAGAAATCCGGTCTCTACTAAAAATACAAAAAACTAAGCCGGGCGCGGTGGCTCAAGCCTGTAATCCCAGCACTTTGGGAGGCCGAGGTGGGTGGATCACGAGGTCAAGAGATCAAGACCATCCTGGTCAACATAGTGAAACCCCGTCTCTACTAAAAATATAAAAAACTAGCTGGGCATGGTGGTGCCTGCCTGTAATCCCAGCTACTCAGGAGGCTGAGGCAGAAGAATTGCCTGAGCCCAGGAGGTGGAGGTTGCGGTGAGCCGAGATCGCGCCATTGCACTCCAGCCTGGGTAACAAGAGCGAAACTCTGTCTCAAAAAAAAAAAAAATTAGCTGGGCATGGTGGCACGTGCCTGTAATCCCAGCTACTCAGGAGGCTGAGGCAGGAGAACTGCCTGAACCCGGGAGGCGGAGGTTGCGGTGAGCCGAGATCGTGCCATTGCACTCTAGCCTGGGTAACAAGAGCGAAACTCCGTCTCAAAAAAAAAAAAAAAAAAAATACAAAAAACTTAGCCGGGCGCAGTGGTGCGTGCCTGTAGTCCCAGCTACTTGGAAGGCTGCAGTTGAGAATCACTGGAACGCCAGAGGCAGAGGAGGCAGCAAGCCAGGATCCTGTCACTGCACTCCAGCCTGGGTGACAGAACAAGACTCCGTCCACCCCTGTCCCCCACCAAAAGAAAAACCCTAGCCTGTCTTGAGCAGACTGTCGGCAGACCCTCAGTGAAGATGCAGAAGGAGGTAAGGAGCAGGGCAGAGCCAACATCATCTTCTACAACAGCCTAACCCTAAACTGCCAGGAACGTGCTGCTGGTATGTTAAAGATGACAGAGGGTGGGACCGTGAGCCACACAGGGACACTCCCAAGCCTTCAAACCTCAGGCCGTCCGCCGGGCTGGACGGTGAAACTGCCTGGACGAACATCCTCTTCCCTCCTCTTTCCCATTTTGAAGAGAAATGCCTGTCCCCAAATCATATTTTGGGAGCAGATAACTTGTTTTCCAGTCTCACCAGCCCACAGATTGAAGGAATGGACCATGCAATCCTCCATGCCCGACTGGATGGGATTGTGGACTTTGTGGGGAACTGTGGGGGGCCCAGGCTTCTGCGGATGTTGGTGGGGAGCAACGCACCTTATGAATGAGGCAATGGGAATCTCCAACTCCCATGCCCCAAGCCCCCGAGCATGGGAATCCACTACCTCACATGGCAAAAAGAAGCAGCGGCAAACATGATTAAATACAGAATTTTAAGGTGGGGAATATCCTGGACCCGGGAGCCAGGCGGGCCCGTGTAAGTGACAGTGAGGTGGGGGGCTCGCGGAGAGGCGTGAGACGCACATGGAGGCCGAGGTGACGAGGCTGCCGGCTGAGGACCTTGAACCGAGAACCAAGCAAACGTGGGCATCGACAGAATCTGGGGGAGGCAAAGGAACAGACTCCTCCTGGAGCCTTCAGAAGGACAGCAGCCCTGCCGACACTGGTCAGCCTCGTGAGGACACATTTCAGAGTAGGACACATATGTGCTGTTTCCAGTGTGAAACCGTGGGATGCCACGGCAGCAGCCACAGGAAACACAGACCCCATTCTCAGGGCCAGGACAGCACCCTGTCCCGGGGAGAACGAGTCCCAACTCCTCGGGAACAGCAGGACTGCCACGTCCTGGAGGTCACTCCTTCCCCAGCCAGCCCCAGTCAGGCTGCAGCCACTGCCCCGACTCCTGATCTCGAGGGCCCAGGGCCTGGAGGCCAAACAGGGCTACAGGGCTCCTCTCTGGGTCTCTAACTCAACATGGTGCCAACTCTAGGCTCTGAACTCCTCTCGCCCGTGGAACCACCACTCCTCTCTCCTCAGGGAGCAAGACCCAAGAGGGAATGCAGGAAGGCCCGGCAGACACAGTCCTGCCACGGGGAGTGAGCAGGAGGCACAAGCCCACAGCAGTACCCACAGCCGCCCTGCGAATGGCACCACTCAGCCCCCAGCCGGCCCTGCAGGAGCGGCCAGTGTGACGGCCAGGGGGCAGATGAGAGGGAAGCACAGGAAGGACAGGAGAGTAAGAACACCGTCCGTGGCAGTCGGGGCCTGAAGGCCACAGAGCCACACGTCCCCAGGAGCACAGCGCTGCACACTCCGCCCTGACTCTGCTGTGAAGCCAAAACCACCAGTGGCGTCGGGAAAATGAGAATGCTGCTGGCCGGGCAGGAGCCCGCGGGTACTCACTCCGGCCAGGGATTTCTGGATGTTCTCTCTGGCTCTGGCAATGTCACGGAGGATCACGCTGGCGCCATTCTCCTGCAGACAGTGCAGAAAGAACCAGTCTTTTTTTTTTTTAATTTAAAAATTAAAAATTAATTTTTTTTAATTTAAAAAAAATTTTTTTTTTTTTTTTTTGAGACGGAGTTTCGCTCTTGTTACCCAGGCTGGAGTGCAATGGCGCGATCTCGGCTCACCACAACCTCCGCCTCCTGGGTTCAGGCAATTCTGCTGCCTCAGCCTCCTGAGTAGCTGGGATTACAGGCACGCGCTGCCACGCCCAGCTAATTTTTTGTATTTTTAGTAGAGACGGGGTTTCACCATGTTGGCCAGGATGGTCTCAATCTCCTGACCTCGTGATCCACCCGCCTCGGCCTCCCAAAGTGCTGGGATTACAGGCTGGAGCCACCGCGCCCGGCCTAAGAAAATTTTTTTAATTAAAAATCCAAAAAACCCATGAACCCTCACAGAGAGCAAGCGAGAAAGTACTGCACAGAATAACAGCTCACAGGCCAGCAAAGCAGAAGGTGCCTTCCGAGTAGCTGGGGCTGCAGGCAGCCAACACTGCACCCGCCGTGACAACGGGCCCGGGAGCCCATGTCTGCAGGGAACCAGTGCCAGGCCCAGCCCCATGCACTGCACAGGCGCCAGCAGGGGGGCCCTGAGCAGACCCAGCCTGGGGGGCCGGCCAAGCCTGCCTGCCCCAGACCCCACTCCCAGCACCCACAGCAGAGCCATTGGGCCAGGGTGCCCATGCCCTCCTGATGCCACCAGAGGCACTCCTCCTGGCCTGGCTGAACCCTCCTTGTGTGTCCCAGCCACTCCTGTAGGGCAGCAGAACCACCAGCCCTCACCTGGCGGGAAACACCAGCCACAGGCCCATTCATCTGCTCGTAGAATCTCCTTTCTGCATCGTCATATTTGAACTTGTCGAACCAGATCTTCTCATGTACTAGGAAGTTTGTAGCCATTTTTCTCCTGGGAGGGGAAAGAGAGGCAAAGTCAGCAAGGTGGGGAAGAGGGTCGAAGACAGCCCTGGCCTCACCCTTCCCTACAGAGACCCTCAGGGCAGCCCCGAAGCACCAGGGTGCGGTGGAGCCAACACCCCAGCTCCAGACACCAGCTCTGCTGACTCACACCGCTGGTCCCGGTGACACAGACTCCAGGCCCGTGGAGAACACCAGTGGGTCTCCACACAGTGACACCAAGTCCGTAGCCCTCGCCCCACATGGCGTCCCAGGCCTGTCTTCCAGACCAGGGGTTCTCAAGGTGTGGTCCAAAAACCTCTGGGGGCCACAAGGCCCTTCCTTTCGGCCACAGGAAGCTGGGTTTACGTCAGACAGCTGGAGCGCGGAGGCGGATGCCAGGGCCTGGCTGCCTCCCACTAAGCCAGACTTGATCTGCTCACTGAGCTTTCTGGTTATAGGGAAAGTACTTCTCATAAAAAAACATGAATATGTTACTAATATATAACAAGTTTCTTCTTCAACAAATATGTATACTTAGCATTTCTCAGTTTCTTTTTTTTTTTTTTTTTAACTTAAAGTCTCACTTTGTCACCCAGGCTGGAGTCAGTGGCGTGATCTTGGCTCACTACAGCCTCCGCCTCGTCAGTTTAGCAATTCTCCTGCCTCAGCCTTCCAAGTAGCTGGGACTACAGGCACCCAACATTGCACCTGGCTAATTTTTTTCATTTCTAGTAGAGATGGGCTTTCACCATGTTGGCTGGTCTTGAACTACTGACCTCAGGTGATCCACCCACCTTGGCCCCCCCAAAGTGCTGGGGTTATGGGCATGAGTCACCACCATGCCGGGCCCATTTTTCAGTGTTAATTGCGAACGTGGTAAAACTCAGTAGATATAATGAAAGCTCTTTGGGGTCCTGAGACCAAGAAGGTTGACAGCTGCTGCCCTAGACCAGGGACTATGGCAAATCCTGCCTATGGGTTTTTCCTGGCACACAGCCCCACCTGGTGCTGCTCCCACTGCCTGGCAGCAGAGGAGCTGGGCAGACGCCTGTGTGGCTGGAACCCAGACCTTCTGGTTCTTTATGGAGTTTGCTGCCCCAACCTTGGACTGGCCAAGGCCCTCCTACTGCCCAACCAAATGCAACAGAAGGGTCCCCATCCCGCTCTGCCAACAGTCTCCGTGGAGGACTCTGGGCCGTTGCTGGACCTCGCCAAGTGTCCTCTCAACAACCAAGGGCTCCACATCCCTGACCCAGGATGTTCTTGGAGAGGAGGGATCAGGCCACTGAGAACACCAGGGCAGGCGGAGGAGCAGGAGGTGGCATTCCCCTATGGGGTCCCACCCTCAGGTCTGATCTTGTCAACCAGCAAATCCAGACCCCTGGGGGTCCGAGGTTGGCACCACCTCTTCCGGGGCCCAGGCAGCTGCTTGGGACACTCATGTAGGACCTTCCAAGTCCTTCCCTGACCCAGCCCGCCCCACCACCAGGTCACCCTCTTCAGCAGGCCTCGCCACTTCCATGCCTTCTGCATTCCCTTTCACATCTAACTGCCCACCCCAACCCCCCGAGACCTGCTGGCCCCCCAGACCGCTGCTGGGGCTGCACCTGCAACCCTGGAGCAAGCCCCCAGCACCCAGAGGGAGGCCACGCAAACCGGGCACCCTGGACAGAGGCTGCCTTACTGGTCATGCACCCGTGTAGCTGAAACGCTGCCACCTTCCCTCGGAGGCAGTTACAGATGACAAGGGAAGCTGGGGGTGCACAGGACGGGCAAGCAGGGACACACTGGCTCCTACATCTCATCCCAGGGGAGTGCTGGAGCCAGAAACCAGCTTCAATGCTTCCCTCCCACATGGGTCATCCCATCTTCTCAGTCCTGGCATTGCGTCAGCCACAGAGGACTGGGGGGTTTCCCAGCCAAAGAGGGGAGGGACCCTGAGTGAGGCCCAGTCTGTCCTGTGCTGACACGATCCCTACCCCCACCCAGCAGCCCAGAGTTTTGTGACCCCAAGCACAGCATAACCCTGGCTCAGCCTGCTCCTGCATTCTACTCAGCTGGGCCCACAGGTCTTGGGGAGCCCCCACCCCAGGTGGGCATGGGAAGGAGCCGGAGGAGCCCCAGCCTGGGATGGCTGTCCCTCTGCCCATAGCCCAGGCTGGGTGCCCACCCGGCACATTTCTCCTACTTGGGTCTCAGGCTGGACATGGATGGGCCAGACCGAGGACTGGGTCGGCGAGACAGGGAGGCAGCTTCAAGACGCCAGGCCACGCGCCGGGCCTCGGCGGCATGGTGGCGACACTCGGCGCTGTCATAGGTGGGCTTGCTGAGCCAGGGGGCCTCTGCGTCCTTCTGCAGGAAGTAACAGTAGGGCAAGGCAGAGGGGGCCCCCCCATCGGCCCGTCGCGGCACGGCCCTCTTGTTCCCTAAGGCACTGCGGCCCCGCCGGTCTCGGCGGCCCCGCCGGGCACCCTCGGCCTGGCCGGCTGGATCTTGCAGGCGCACCTTCCCGGGGGGATGGCCATCAAACAGGGCCTCATAGAAGCCCCTCTCGGCCGCATCATACCGGGGCTTCTCCAGCCACACCTCCCGAACCAGTGCCTGTAGGCTGCCCAGTGGGGGCTGGCCATTGACTGGTGGGCTGGGCTGGTGGGCCAGGTGGGAGACAGCCACCTCCTGGCCTATGTCAGGAGTCTCTTCCCTGTGGCCGCCCTCGGGGGCCAGCAACAGGGCCTGAGACCATTCCACGAATGCCTGCTCAGCCTGGTCGAAGGCAGACTTGTTGACCCAGATCCCCCACGTCACATGGTGGCAGGCCACCTGGCTTCCATGGGTGCAGGGACCCCAAGGGGCCAAGGCAGGAGGCCAGGCTGCCTGGGCAGCCACATCTGACAGCCTCTGGTGGTAGGCGCTCTCTGCCTGGTCGAAAAGTGACTTGTCCAGCCACACGTGGTCAGCCGAGAGGCCCATGAGAGCCAGGTCCACAGGGCCAAGCCCACTCTTGGGAGAGCGCTTCCTTTTTTTCTGCAGGGGCTTCCTGCTGTCCTGGCTCTTCCTGGGATCACTCCTGCTGCTGCCGTCAGGGGCCTCGGCCTCATCAACGTCCTCAGGGTCGTCCTGGCTGGGCCCGTTCATGGCCTGCCCCTCGGCCGGCAGCTGCTGGGCGGAGGCGGCCGCCCGCGTGGCCTCCTGCTCGTAGAAGCGCCGCTCGGCCTCCTCATACTTGAGCTTGTCTTCCCACACCGTCTCCAGGGCACAGGAGGCCTTCCCGCTCCTCATCTTCCGGACACAGCGATAGAAAGCAAGCAGAGGCAGATTTGCAACACAGCGGGCGGCCTCGGCCCCGTGCCCACCCTCCCATGCCTGCCCTCCCGGGGCAGGGGCTGAGGATGCTCCCTAGTGGGGCTTCCATGCCATGACATTCAAGGACTTGAAAGGCCCATGTGGGGGACATTTTGTGGTGGAGAAAAAACAGGCCAGTCACGGTGGCTCACGCCTGTAATCCCAGCACTTTGGGAGGCCAAGGCAGGCAGACCACGAGGTCAGGAGGTTGAAACTATCCTGGCCAACATGGTGAAACCCCGTCTCAAAAATACAAAAAAAAAATTAGCTGGGTGTGGTGGTGTGTGCTGGTAGCCCCAGCTACTCAGGAGGCTGAGGCAGGAGAAGCGCTTGAACCTGGAGGTGGAGGTTGCGGTGAGCCGAGATCGCGCCACTGCACTCCAGCCTGGCGAAAGAGCAAGACTCCGTCTCAAAAAAGACAAAATAGCATACGTATACATGTATATAAATATATACATATACGTTTTAACTGCAGAACTTGTCTTTACTAATCTGCCATGGCTCCGGCTCTCCGAAAGGGGTTCGGAAGACACTATACCAAGCCGCCCTGGCCAGGAAAACCTTTTCTTACACAACCTCCAAGTTGACAAAACAGAAGCAGGATTTGCTCAGTTAATTTAACTTGGATATGAACAATACATAATTTTCTTAGTGAATGTATGGCCCATGAAATACCTGCAACATACTAAAAAATGTTTCGTTATTTATCTGAAATAAACTTCAGCTGGCTAACCAGCTTGCCCTGCATTTTTGCACAGGCCAGGCCCGGCCACCACCCCACCACGGTGGCTGGAGTTCCCACTGCACACAACGGCCTCTGCGGCTGTCCTGGCCATACCACAGCCGCACCCAGAGCACACCTGAAGGTTTTCAAAACGGGACAGCCTCTCCGTGGGCCCGACTGTCCTCCTCAGGAGGAACCAGGTGGCTGGGCAGAGGGTGGGGCACCCACTCATGGAGGCTCACATCAATGGGAGACACCAGGGAGCATGCTAGTGACCGGTCTCTAAAAAGGAGGGACCAACTGCCTCCAGCACAGAGATGACTCTGGGCTCTCTATCAGCCGCCCCCGCCTCCCGACCGGAGCCCAGACCTCTGGGTGCATCCTAACTAAAGGGGCATAACGGGGATTTCACAGTTCCAGGACGCCAGGGTCCCCTCTAAGGTTCCGGTACTGTGTGATGTGAGAGGGACCATCTTGGTGGGAGGCGGGTCGTGGGGACCCACCCCTACTTGCTACCATGGCCTGGGAGCCTCAGCCTCCTCACTGGACGCGCTGCTCCCTCAAGCTCTGGGTGACCTCCATCATCTGCTGCCCCTGAGCACGACCAAGGTCGGCTGGGTCTGAAGTGTGCTCCAGCAGCCACGCAGGATCCTGCGGGGGGCACACTCTGCTCCCAGGTGTCCAGCGTAGTGTTACGGAAAGGACAGGCCCAGCAGGGGCACATCTGCTCTCGGGATGCAGGTCAGTGCTCCAGCCTGTGCTCAGCCTGCCATAGCTTCCTCCCCAGCCACGCCCTCTGCTCCCCAAAAGCAGAAAGTGCCTGGGCCTAACCCACACCGAGGAGCACCCTCAAGAGGGGGCCGTGCAGCTGCCCTCACCAACACCTCTGCTCTTCTGCTGCCTCCGCCAGCGTCTGACGGAGCCTGAGGGCAGACCCAGTGGCTCCGGGGCCCGTGGCTGTGACTGGAGCCACCTGCCTGGTGTGCACTGAGGGAGGCAGCCTTCGGTGAAGCGCAGGCCCTGTGCACCACTGGCTCCGGGTCTAGCCCCTCTCCCACCACCATTCCCCAACAAAACCAAGGCCAATTCTGATGCCCCGGTGGGGTGCTGAGCTGTCTAGGCTCCACCCAGGGCAGGCAGCGCTTTGGGGATGGCCACGCTCTGCCTCTGAATGGAACACGGAGTTCTTTCTGGACATGTGGCCAGAATCCGTCAGTCCCAGCAGCGAGCTCCAATGGGACCAGTGAGGCCACGGGGACCAAGAAGCAGCTCCCTGGGCTCCCCCACTCACTCCTCCCGCAGGCTGAGGCAACACTTACCAGGGCCAGGCTGATGGGCAGGGTTGGGGTGGGACGGGAGTAAGAGCCCAGGAAGCAGAGCATTGTGACATCATGAGGTGGGGTGAGGGGCAGCAGGGCCGGCCAGCTGGGCAGGGCTCGTCTGCCCTCTAACTTCTCTGGCCATCAAGCCCCCCACAGGACCCCTGCTAGCCTCTCTGCTCCCGTCAGCAGTGCCACTAAGCTGGCCCCCAGTGTCAATGCCCTGCCAGATTTTATTGGCTAAAGTGGCCTCAGACCACATTCCTGGGGAATCCGGGCAGAAGCAGCCGCTCAGGGAGGGGAAGCCACTTTGGAGGCTCCTACCAAGTCCTGGCACTGCCGCCACTTCCCTGCAGGGAGCAGAGCAGCATGTCACATGCTGACCTGCCAGCCCAGGCCAGGACCCTGCTCAGGGCCACACAGGGTGACCACCTGCTGCTGCCCCACCCAGAAAACCCAATTCCTCCACTTTACAGGAAACTACAGCCCCTCCAGGCAGACTGGGCCATGAACAGGTGGTGCTGGGGTTCCTGTGGTGCAGTGTTGGCTGGGTGTTCCCTGGTCAAATGAAGGGGACGGGGCACCAGGACAGGTGGGTACTTACTTTCCTTTGGCCTCCTAGGACAGCATGAAGGAAAAAGCAGCAAGGTTAGAGGCAGCCAGAAAGACCGAGTGGGTCAGACACAGCAGCAGCAGCAGCCCGGGCCTTTTCAGAAGCTGCTTGGTGAGGTGGCATGGAGGTGACATTGGTGGAGACGGAAGCCGAGTGCCAGACAGACCCACCACCACCACCACAGTCCCAGGTGGCAGCTGAGTCCACACGCTCTGAGGAGGTGTCGCTCTGTCATCCTTTGAAAGGGGAGCTCTTGGGATTCGTGTTAGCTGGAGCCCAGGCAGTCCCTGGGGGACAAGCAGGGACCACTATCTGAGCCAACCTCTCCCAAATCTACCCACCCTGTCATCACCTGAGCAAGGCAGCCCGAGACAAGGTAAGCCAACACCCGCAATCCTCTCCGGAGCTGACCCTGCACGGCTGCGTGTCCAGGCGCTGAAGGAAGCCCGGAAGCTGACAAGGAGCCTTCAGGGAAAGCAGCCCAGGGCCCAGACTGGTACGGGGCCTCTCTCAGCAGGAGCCACCATCGAGGTAGGGCTGCCACCCAAGGGCCCCAGCACGAGCCGCAAAAAACTTCAAGGGACGCAAAGGCCTCCCAGACTCACTCTCCCACGGTGTGCACAGATGATCGGTGACCTGCCCCCGATCTCTCAAGAGCCACTTCATAAACCCTGCAAGCTCTGGGAAGGGCAGCTGGGCACAGCTGAAAACCCAGCCACAGCCCATGCCCTGGGTGGGACTGGGCAGGAGGGGCCACCTCCTGCTGCTGAGCAACCCAAGAGCCCTGGCTCGGATCTGTCTTCCTTCACCAAGCGGAGCTCTGCCCCAGGGCCTTGCCCACCTCTGTGCACCCCACACTGTAGCAGGGGGCACCCTGCAGAGAAGAACTAGGCATCTGCCCCATGGGACTGTTAAGAGGGGTCCTGAGTGGGCTTCCCTGCAGAGAGAAAGCCCTCAGGAGATACCACAGTGAGCCATGCTGGAGACTCGGAGGCCAGGCCCGTCACCTGGGCAGCTGGCCACTGACAGTGCGCAGACATCCTCCCAGGACAGCCAGCACAGCCCCCCACACCCCCTCATTTCCCCGCTTCCCGCGTTCCAGAGCACAGGAGGACCTGCCGGACCAGGCACACCATCTCTCCTAACAGAGGGCAAGTCTGAGCTTCCACTCACTCTGACGACACGCACACCCAAGCCTCTCCTCTCCGGCAGGAGAGCCTGGAGCAGGACACAATGACTTTTTCAACTGCATCCCTACAGATGGCCAGCCCCTTCTCTCCTGAAGTTTATCCAAGCTTGGAAAGAGCTTGCTAAAGAGAACACAGGGGCACAGCCAGCTGCCAGAGAAGCAGTCTTGGAAACGCCAGAGCCAGGCCCCAGGGCCAAGTGTCCTGACTCCGCTCCTGGGAGCAGGCCAGGCTCCGGGATGCATGCAGGGCTCACCACCAAGGCTCCCCAGTAAGGGGCAGACAGCCTGCTAAGCACCCAAGCCTCCGTCAGCGGCCCAGAGTTTGAGGGTGCCATGGGGTCCTGGCTCTGGAAGGCTCCACCCATCTAACAGGGTCTGTGATGCAGGCAGCACCCAGCAAGACCCACTGCAGCAGCACGGCCCTCACAGCTCCCGGCCCTGTCCCCCAAATAGCCTTGCCAAGGACGCTCCTTCCCAGAAGATTGCAGTTCAGGACGCTGAAAGAAGGTAAGGACAAGCCTGGAGAGCTGTGGCCGCAAAGGCGCTGCATGGCCTGAGGGTCTCGCACCCTTGGCACACAGGGAGGCTTCTGGGAGGAGCTGGCTCCCAGGCCCTGCCCTCCACGCCACCCCATCACAGTCACACACACAGACGGGCTCCCAGACCGTCCGCCCTCCGCAGGGAGCAGTCAAGTAAGTGGGCAGGGGGTGTGCTCGGCCGCCAGGCTCAGCCTGTGCACGCCCAACCCTCCCAGCAGCAGCTCTCTCCCGCCCACCTGACTGGCCTGACTGGCACTGACGGACAGAACTTTCTGTATCTTCTGTGCCCAAAGGGTCCCACAACTAGCCCTGAAAATGAGGCCAGAGCACCTGAGGAAGCAGCTCCGTGGGCGAAGCACGGCAGAGGACAGCGCACAGGACAGACCAGCACCCTCCCGCGCCGAGTGAGGCCTCTGGTTTTTTGTTTTTTTGGGGTTTTTTTTTTTGAGACGGGAGTCTTGCTTGTTGCCAGGCTGGAGTGCAGTGGTGCAATCTCAGTTCACTGCAACCTCTGCCTCCCAAGTTCAAGCGATTCTGCTTCCTCAGCCTCCTCAGTAGTTGGGATTATAAGCACCTGCCAGCACCACATTTGCCAGGCTGGTCTGGAACTCCTGACCTCAGATGATGCCGCCCGCCTCGGCCTCCTGAAGTGCTGGGATTACAGGCATGAGCCACTTCGCACGGCTGCTTTGGATCTTTTTAAGGGAAAAACTCTACAGCTCCACTTTCCCACTCAGCCACTTTCCTGTCTGACCCCTGGATATTCCAGCCCTACTGGGAAACGCCAGCCTGACCTGCATACCTCAGAGCCCATACCGTAGCTGCCCAAGTCACCCCACCCCACCCACATCCTTTCTTAAATGCCACTGTCGGTCAGCACCATTTCTAGACTGCTCTCGGGACTCTGGCTGACCCTGCCTGCTGGCACAGCCCCCATGCCTCCTGAGTGACTCCAGAGACTTTCTGGAACCCCTGACAACACCCACACCACACCTCATATGGCCCCCACGGCTGTCAGCGAGGCGGGGCAGCTGGAGACCTGTGGCAGGCTCCTACATCAGCACTCAGCATAACTTGCTGCCACCAGCTTCCAGCACTCCACGTCACCTTAAAACACTGGCACAGGATGATGACCCACAAAATGCTCCATGCCACCTTTCCTGTCCTCAGCCCCCAAAAGGCTGACGCCAGTGCACAGCGCAGTCAGGTACTCTGTTCATCATCAAGCATGTGTGCTCACCTGCACTGAACCCTGCAGCCTCACCCAGCTCCCAGGGAGCAAAGCCAAGGGCCCGGGCCTCCAGACACCGGAGGGCTCTGCTAGCTGGGCGCTCACTCTCCACAACTGACTGCGTGTGAACCCTGCAGCAGCCTAGGGGAGAAGCTGCTATCCACAGGATTGGAACTGCACCCAGAAAGCCCCAAAGAAGTGGATCTAGGAGCCTGGCTGGGCAGTGCATGCGCCCGCCTGCGCATCTGATGAGAAGGCGAAGGTGACTGTCCACTTCCTCAGAGGACACTTGGGGACTCCTTTCACACCTGCCCTTCACCCTGGCTGCATCCCCGACCCCCAGAGCAGGGTTGAGCTTACACAGGGGCTCCAGAAGTAACCCACTGCCTTTGAGGCAGCTGCTTAAGGCTCATGGGCTCCAGAGGACCGGGTGGTCGGCGCTACAGGAGGCTGCGCAGGTGAGAGGGCCTGGCCTGTCTCCCTGGGAGGTGAGCCACAAGCAGTATCAACTCAAGAAGCATCCCGCCAGGTCAGGCAGAGACGACCCGAAATTTAGCTACACAGTCTCTTGCTGCCAGGCGGTCCTTCACTCTGGAAAGCAATCCTGACGTGTCATCAGGTCCCCAGCCCACTCCGCCCCCTTTGCCTTCTTCCCTCCATTTAAAGCCTCTTACCAAAAGCACCCCCACCATCCTAGCACCCCAATTCAGAGACCTCCAGACCATCCTACCTAAATCAGGAAACAGAAATTTTGACCCAGTACATCCTACTCCTTTCCGTGTTCACAAGCGTCTAAGTTCCAAAAGTGTTGCGCCCCTGCCTATCCCCTCCGGACTCAGCAGACGCGCGCAGTAGGCGCTTACTACACACGTGGCGGACGAAGGTCTGCAAGCCAGAGGAACGACCGGGGCAGACTGCAGCAGACACAGGCCCGAGGACCCCGCAGCCTGGCCGAGGGACTTCCAGGAGCAGGATGCCCAGCGAGCCAGCGTTCCCCGCGGCCCCGGCCCGCGGACGCCCCCCAGGCGGGCCCCGAGGCCTCAGTCGCCCCGCCCCTCTGCGCTCGCCCCAAGAGCCGCACTTGGCCCACGGCCCCTAAGCCGGCACTGGCGCACTTGCGCCTCAGTCCCTAACGGCGCGAGCTTCTGGCGCAGCCCGGGCCGCCCGCCCTCCCGGCCCCTCGGGCGTCTCTGGCGCCCTCGGCTTCTTCCGGCGGGGGCCGCGGTACTCACACGCCAGCCGAGGACGCGGCGACCAGGGAGGAGGAATGGGCGGGCGCGGGACGCCTGCGGAGAGAGAGGGCCGCCCGGGCCGCGCACGGGAAATGAAGCACTGGGCTCGACCAACAGCCGCAGGCCGGGGGCCCGGGGGGACGCGGCCCCTGCGCACGCTCCGCCTGGCCGCCCGGGCCCTCGACGTGCCGCGCCCCGACACTTCAAAGGCAGAAGCACGTCAGAGACGACCGCGGAGGCCGCTCTTCCCGGGAGGAGTCTGCACCAGTGCCGGGAACGGGACGGCGGCGCGCGCGGCCCCCCGCGCCTCGCGGCCAGTGGTGTCGCCAGCGGGGCGGGGCCGGCGGCCGGCAGGCGCGGAGTGACGCTCGAGGCGGCCAGCGCGCAGGCGCGGCGCCGGGACGGCCCCCGACGGGGTCAGCGCGCGTGCGCCCGCCGAGCTGCGGGACAAAGGGGTGGGACCCGCGCGGCCCCGCCCCCGAGCGCCCCGCCCCGAGCGGCTGGGCGTGTGGCTCCTGCGACCCGCGGCCCGGGTCCCCGCCGCCGCCGCCGCCGCCATGTACCCTGCGGGCCCCCAGGCCGGCCCGGTCCCGCGCCGCGGCCGCCGCCCCCCGCCCGGGCCCCCCGCGCCCGCGCCGGCCCCCGCCTCCGCCGCGCGGCCGCCGCCCCCTGCGCCCGGTCCGCGGCCCCGCGTGGCCGTGAAGATGGCCTTCCGCAAGGCCTACTCCATCAAGGACAAGCTGCAGGCCATCGAGCGCGTCAAGGGCGGCGAGCGGCAGGCCAGCGTGTGCCGCGACTTCGGCGTGCCCGGCGGGACGCTGCGCGGCTGGCTCAAGGACGAGCCCAAGCTGCGCTGGTTCCTGGAGCAGCTGGGCGGCGAGGTGGGCACGCAGCGCAAGAAGATGCGGCTGGCCAACGAGGAGGAGATCGACCGCGCCGTGTACGCCTGGTTCCTGGCGCTGCGCCAGCACGGCGTGCCGCTGTCGGGGCCGCTCATCCAGGCGCAGGCCGAGGCCTTCGCGCGCCAGATCTACGGGCCCGAGTGCACCTTCAAGGCCAGCCACGGCTGGTTCTGGCGCTGGCAGAAGCGCCACGGCATCTCCAGCCAGCGCTTCTACGGCGAGGCCGGGCCCCCCGCCCCGGGCCCCGCGCCCGGCCCCCCGGTCAAGGAGGAGCCCGCGCTGCCTCCCGGCGCCTGCCCCCTGCCCGACCGCGGCCCGGCCCCGCCGCCCCCCGCCGAGGGCGGCTACGGCGACGAGCAGATCTACAACGCCAACGTCACCGGCCTCTACTGGAAGCTGCTTCCGGAGCAGGCTGCGCCCCCGGGCGCAGGGGACCCCGGGACTGGGGGCTGCGGCCGGCGCTGGCGGGGCGACCGCGTGACGGTGCTGCTGGCCGCCAACCTGACCGGCAGCCACAAGCTGAAGCCGCTGGTCATCGGGCGGCTGCCGGACCCGCCCAGCCTGCGCCACCACAACCAGGACAAGTTCCCGGCCTCCTACCGCTACAGCCCCGACGCCTGGCTCAGCCGGCCTCTGCTGCGGGGCTGGTTCTTCGAGGAATTTGTCCCGGGCGTCAAGCGCTATCTGCGCCGAAGCTGCCTGCAGCAGAAGGCCGTGCTGCTGGTGGCCCACCCGCCGTCCCCAAACCCGACCTCCAGTATGCCCGCCCTGGAGGAGAGCGAGGAGACCCCCATGCGGTGCAGGCCGGAGCCTCTGGGCCCCCCGGAGGAGCTGCAGACCCCGGATGGCGCTGTGCGCGTGCTGTTCCTGTCCAAAGGCAGCAGCCGGGCACACATACCCGCACCGCTGGAGCAGGGCGTGGTGGCCGCCTTCAAGCAGCTGTACAAGCGTGAGCTGCTGCGGCTGGCTGTGTCCTGCGCCAGCGGCTCCCCGCTGGACTTCATGCGCAGCTTCATGCTCAAGGACATGCTCTACCTGGCCGGCCTCTCCTGGGACCTGGTGCAGGCGGGCAGCATCGAGCGCTGCTGGCTGCTGGGCCTGCGGGCCGCCTTTGAGCCCAGGCCCGCAGAGGACAGTGCTGGGCAGCCAGCACAGGCCGAGGAAGCTGCGGAGCACAGCAGGGTGCTCAGCGACCTCACTCATCTGGCAGCTCTGGCCTACAAGTGCCTGGCTCCCGAGGAGGTTGCAGAGTGGCTGCACCTGGATGATGATGGCGGTCTGCCCGAGGGCTGCAGAGAGGAGGTGGGCCCAGCCCTGCCCCCTGCAGCCCCTCCAGCCCCAGCCAGCCTACCCTCTGCCATTGGGGGTGGAGAGGAGGAGGAGGAGGCCACCGAGTATGGAGGGGCCTCAGTGCCCACTGCCGGGGAGGCCGTGCGGGGGCTAGAGACGGCTCTGCGGTGGCTGGAGAGCCAGGACCCCAGAGAAGTGGGGCCACTGAGGCTGGTGCAGCTGCGCTCACTCATCAGCATGGTGCGGAGGCTGGGGGGCATCGGGAACACTCCTGAAGGCCCCTATGACAGTGTGTGACCAGGCCAGCCCGGTGACCTCCTGCTGCACTAGGAGGAAGGGGACGCACAGGGTCTCCTATCCTCTCCTCCCCTGGGTGGCCCACTCCATGGGTATGGCGGTCACAGGTATCCAAGCCCAGCCTGGCTTGGAGGATCTCTGTTGGTGAGAGGTCACCCTGCCTCATTGGCACCCCAGTCTCCTGGAGATGCAGCTGGAAGAGAGGGTCGGCCCATGCTGCTCCAAGGGCAGGCACATGCGCAGGGCGTACAAGGCACAGAGCCTGTCGGAACATGAGGCCGTGTTCCCGCTCTGGCCCCCGTGGGGCTGGGCCTCTGTCCCCGCACCAGTCACATGCACTGGACGAGGGCCCGACACTCCTGTCTGCCGTCGAGCCCTGGTGCTGCGTGGTCCCCGAGCCACAGCGTGGTCATCTCAGTGGCGAAGCACACCAATTGGTTCTATTTTTTAACACATTAAATCTGTTTTTAAAGATACTCTTCAGAGGGGCCGTGAGAACGGGCCGGGTGGGCTGATTTCGGGCCACCCTGCGGTTGCTCTGGAGGTCAGAGGCAGACACCTAAGGTACTGGAGCATCACAGTGGAGTCGGGGAGGGATGGATTCTCGTAGTCAGGGCTTCCTTAGGTTCTGGGCACAACAGGGAGGTGGAGTTCCGTTTCCCTGGATTTTTAATTTTCCCTAAGAAAATTCTGGTCTAAACAGATCTCTTACTCCATGGGATTGGCAGCTGCCTGGATTTGGGCCCTGGTGACCTGGCCAATGGCAGGAGAGTTTTCCCATGCTTCCTCATCAGCCGCAGACCATTTTTTCTGGCCCCAGGGCCCAGAGCCACCTGACATACCTGGAAGCAGGCCCTGGCAGTAATGGCCACCAAGGCAATCCACAGTGCCTTAGCATCACCCTCTTTGGGATCCCCTCCCCCACTGCCCCTCAAATCTGCCTCTCCCCGTCCGTGGCTGACAAGCTACCCCTGGGAGGCCTAGTTTGAAAGGTCGAAAGGGCCCCAGGGCCTGTCCAGCCTTGGTCCTGTTCTGCTTCGGCCAGGTCTAGGCCTGGAGTCCTTCCGGTGGGACTGGGGCTGCCGATGCCCATGCCTCCCCAGGTGGGGTGGGGGCTGCCTTTGCAGAGAGGCTGCCCGAACTGGTGTCATGGGCAGGGGACTGGCCCCTCATCCCCACCTGCCTCCAGTGTCCTAGCAGTGGGAACCTTGAGAACACAGAGTTGCAGAGTGCAGGGTAGGCCTGAGGCCTGCACAGCGAAGGGAACGGCTGTGCACCAGCTTGGCAGTGGGGCAGCTGGAGGGAGTTTCCCCAAAAGTGACTTCTGTACAGTTCCAAGAACAAACAGTTCCTTGGAACTACCGCAAGTCAAGAAATTTATACATATATACGTATATATCTATATCTGAAATCTGAGAGCTGAGGGAGCTGTGGAAATTTTGGGAAGAAGCAGACTCCCCAAGCAGAGCTCGGAGCAGCAGCCTACTCCCGGCGTGCCTGCCGAGTTCATCAGGCCAGCCCCGCCTGCAGGAAGAGCCTCCAGCCTGAACTGCTGGAATAGGCTGCAAAAAGCCTGGGGCATTTGGGCCAGAAGCTTCTCAGGGGCCCAGGCACCCAAGGTGGGGACGCCACCTCCTTTCTGCCAGGCCTGCCTCCTGGGCGCCCAGGAGGAGCCGCCTCACGGCTACAGTGCCAGTGAGGGCTGCACACCCGGGCCTAGGCTGCAGTCTGGGCCACCCGAGCCCCAGCTACTCATTGCTGCTGCGTCTTTGGCAAGGCTTTCATCTCCAGCATTTCTTCCCATCTCGGCTCTTTCATTGGCCTGGGTCCCAGAAGGCTGGCACTGGTGCTGGCAGACCCCATTCTCTATCTGGGTGGCTCTGTCCCACAGTCCCTGGATGATCACTTTCTATAAACAAGGCAGTACTGATTTTTGCTATTAAAAAAGAAAAGCAGGTGCAGGCTGGTGGGGGCATTAGGCTCTGAAGAGTGGGTCTGCCTGCTGGCATTTACTGGATGGGGAATCCTCCTGAAGAGGGCTTAAAAAGCATCTCCTAGCATGGGGTGCACTGGCACATGGTGCTGTGTGGCAGAGGCTGGGGCTGCTCTGCCCATGCCTGGCCCCAAGGGCAGCCCCAGCCATGGATCCCTGAGACCTGGGCTGGAACCTGGGGCCCTGTCCCAGTCGGGGTTCCAGCTCACTAAGTCTCTCTGGGTTCTGCTCAGTGTCTGAAGTGATGGAAAGACCCCAGGATTGGTGGCTGTATTGGACACTGGGGGTGGGGGAACCCTTTGGGAGGCTCTTTACCAAGGTTGTGCTGGTACCCTTGCCTGCCAGGCCCTGGCTGTGGTGACAGGCATCTGCTTCCTCCAAAAGCCATGACCGCCTTCAGAGCATGGCCTCTCGCTCTAGCAGATTCTGCACATTCCCTGCTGGCACAGGGGTGGGCCGGGGCTATGAGCCAGCTGTCCTCAGCTCAGATGGCCCCCAGACCCCCTAGCTCCTGCTCACTGCTCTTCCAGTTAGTGATCCTGTGTCAACGTCACTGTCAGAGCCCCTGGTCTGGATAAGGGAAGGCGCTGAGTCATGAGTGCAGGTCCTGTTGAAACCACCCGACCCGCGGTGTCAGGGGGATGAGACCACTGCCTTGCCCCAGGAACCTGCAGGCTTGGGGGACTCCCTGGATGTCCGCTGAGCTGTGGATGAAACATCAGAATGTGCTGGAAAAGGGGAGTACCCCTAGACTGGGGGTGGTCCCGCAGGGATCTCAGCCCCTTTCCTACCTAGTTGAGATGCCCATGGGGAGCGATCCCAACAGCACATGGGGGTCCCTGGGCTTGCAGGGCCCACCATCTGTGGAGAATCCTTCCTCTAACTGACAAGCTTGTTTACAGCTGAGCTTGCCCGCTTGGGTGGGCCCAGTGGCTTTATCTAATAAAGGCCAGGACATGCCCCCTTCGTGAGCATCACTGCTGTGAAGTCTTATTTTTGCAACTCTTGATCCAGTGCTTGGATCAAGAGTACCCCTAAAAGGGGAACACTGATTAAAGAAGATTTCATAACCCAAGTTCAGGAGGTCGAGACCATCCTGGCCAACGTGGTGAAACCCTGTCTCTGCTAATAGTAAACACAAAAAACTGCGTGAGGCGGCAGGCGCCTGGCATCTCGGCCACTTGGGAGGCTGAGGCAGGGCAATCACTTACACCCAGGAGGCAGGGGTCGCAGTGAGCTATCACGCCGCTGCACTCCAGCCTGGGTGACCGAGCAAGACTCAAGTCTTTTAAAGAAAAAGATACCGTGATCACATCCACCATTTTCTGTCTTGAAGAACGTTTTTGCCTGGCAATAGAAGGCACAGGGGAGGCCTGGGTAACCCATGACCACAACACTCCCTGCCATGCCCCAGAAGCTAAGGGTGTGTCTGTCACAGGCCCTCACCAGCTGGGCCATGAGGGGCTACTTGGGTCCTCCACCTCCAGAGCGGAGCTCGCCTAGTGCCCAGGCCTTGGCTCAAAGCCAGTGATTTCTCCTTGCAGATAGATGGGCTCAGTGTGAATGCAGGTGGCTCTCGGAAGAGCTGTCCATGTTCCTTCGGGGGCAGCCTGTGCCAGACCCCAGCCTCCCAGACCTGCCCAGGCTTGGCACACAGTCCCCTGCAGTGACAGGGTGCGGTGGGGGGGGGGCTGCAAGTCTGTGCCCCACAAAGCTCCCAGGTGCTGTAGAGACCTGCAGCAGGTATGAAGGGGACCTCTGCTGTTCACAGAACGTGCATCGTCACCTGACATCTGTCCTTGAGCCATGGTTCTGGGTCTCAGCGTAGATGCGACAGGCATCAGAACTGTTTTTTTTTTTTTTTTTTTTTTTGAGACAGAATCTTGCTCTGTCACTCAGGCCGGAGTTCAGTGGAATGATCTCAGTTCACTGCAACCTCCACCTCCCGGGTTCAAGCAGTTCTCCTGCCTTAGCCTCTTGAATATCTGGGATTACAGGTGTGCACCACACATGGCTAATTTTTGGTGGTTTTTGTTCCTTTTTTTTTTTTTTTTTTTTTTTTGAGACGGAGTTTCGCTCTTGTTACCCAGGCTGGAGTGCAATGGCGCGATCTCGGCTCACCGCAACCTCCGCCTCCTGAGTTCAGGCAATTCTCCTGCCTCAGCCTCCTGAGTAGCTGGGATTACAGGCACGCACCACCATGCCCAGCTAACTTTTTGTATTTTTAGTAGAGACGGGGTTTCACCATGTTGACCATGATGGTCTCGATCTCTTGACCTCGTGATCCACCCGCCTCGGCCTCCCAAAGTGTTGGGATTACAGGCGTGAGCCACCGCGCCCGGCCTCCTTTTTTTTTTTTTAAAGATAGGGTTTCACCATGTTGGCCAGGCTGGTCTCAAACTCCTGACCTCAGGTGATCCACCCACCTTAGCCTTCCAAAGTGCTAGGATTACAGGCATGAGCCACCACACCAGCCATTTTTGTATTTTTAGTATAGACCAGGTTTAACTGTGTTGGCCAGGCTAGTCTTGAACTCTGGACCTTGTGATCTGCCCTCCTTGGCCTTCCAAAGTACTGGGATTATAGGCATGAGCCACCACGTGCGGCCAGGAACCTAGTTTTATCCACCTCTGGTGAAACACGAGCTCACTTGGTGCTCTCTGGCATCTTTATTCCCGTCTCCTTAGGCTGACCCTCACAAGTGCCAGGGCCAGGCTTAGACCAGTCACCTGAGTCAGCCTGCCCTGGGAAGCAGGCAGGGGTGGGAGCTTGGAGATGGGCTAGGCTCAGGGGAGTGAGAGAGAGCAGGCGGAGGGCAGAAGTCCGCGGCCAGAGGCAGCTGAACCTGAGGGACGGAGCGTGCAGGTGCACCCAGCCCTATTTTGCACTAGGAGATGGATCTGCCCAGGCACACAGGGTGAGGGCACGGTGGAACCTGCTGCCCAGCCTTGCTGAGGGCGTGCTCCCCGCCTCGCCTCCAGAGCTTGCTGGGTGGAAGCTGAGAGCTGCTGCACTCATGGGCCAGTGTGGAACTAGAGGCCAGGGTGAATCTTGTGGGGCACAGGACGAAGCTGAGGCCATCTGGCCCAGGCCCTCCTGACCCAAAGGCCCCAAAACCCCAGCCAGGGCCCCTGGCTTTACTGTGGGGGAGAGGGTCTTTTATACACACCCCGTATGGCTTGTGCCTCCTAGAGCGGAGATGAGACAGCTGGCCTAGCTGCAGCTGCACGGAGCCACCTGGAAAGCCAAAGGCAGGCCCCGGCTCCTGACCAGGCATTGGGCCAGCCGTGCCTGTTACTGTAAGTTCTGTTCCTGGCCTTGACCAACAGCCCAACCATGTGGGCACCTGACCAAGACGCCATCTCTTGGACCCCTCAGAACCAACATTACAGCAAGGCAGGCTCACTGCAGCAGGGGGCAGGGCCACTACCACAGCACCTTCTGCCCATGGGGGAGGGAGGAGTGTCCCCACAGGTGGGGGCTCCCCCACCTACTGGAACCTCTCAAGTCCTGCCCCGTGCACTTCCCTGTGCAGGGGGAGGAGTGGTTGGAGACCCTCCTGCAGGAGGGACAGTCGTAGTCCTCAGGAGAAGGGGCACAGGGAGAAATGGGGGCAGGAAGGCGGGCAAGGATGGCCAGAGCCCAGCCTACTTCCTGCTGAGCTCCTTGGCCCGGCAGGTGGCAGCCTCCACAGCGCTCATGGTGGCCGCTCGCAGCCCGCCTTGCTCCAGGGCGTGGAGCCCGTAGATGGTGGTGCCGCCCGGGGTGCACACGTCAGAGCGCAGCTGGGCTGGGTGCCGGCCCTCGTGCAGCAGCATCTTGGCTGTCCCCTGAGGAAAGCGTGAGGGCCTGGTGACCAGGGGAGGTGGCGCGGCCCCCACTGTGCGGCCTGTCCTCACCGCATCCCTCAACCTCAGCCCCAGCTTCTCCAGCCTGCTGTTTCCCTGCCCACTGAAAGTGGTTCAGCCTGGGCCTTCTCAGTGGTCCCCAGGAGCCACCCTCACTCACCAGCAGGGTCTGGGCAGCGATGCGGTGGGCCAGGCCACTGGGCATGCCCATCTTGACGGCGCCCTCGGCCAGCGCCTCGGAGAATGTGCACACCTGTAGTAGCGGCATGGTGCGGGGAGACAGGTCTCAAAGCCGGGGGCTCAGAGCTTTCAGGAACAAGGCCCAGAGCACTGGCCATGGATGGCCAGAACCAGGGCCTGAGCCCAGGAGTCTGCGAAGGGGCTGGCCTCAAAGATCCCCAAGGCAGTGAAGTTCTGGGGATGGCACAGCCCCCAGCGGGCCTGGGATCAACTACGCAGGCCCCAAGGTTGGACTCTGAGGGCAGAGGCCGTCAGAGGGACTTGCGCAGGCCCCGCCGTACCAAGGGTGGGGCAGCGGATGGACAAGGCAATACTCACGAAGGCCACGCCACTGCCACCGAGGCCAGTGTGGATGTCGACTGTAGGCTTCAGGCACCTCCTCACACCGCCCACAGGCCTCCAGCAGATGCTGCAGGAGCTTGGTCTCGCTGCTGCCCACGTGACGGCCCCGCGTCATCACGATGGCCCCTTCCTGGACCATGCAGGGCAGGTTGGGCAAGACACGCAGTACCCGTGTGTGTGGGGGCAGCAGCTGGCCAGAGAGAGGTTAGAATCAGGGAGCCTGTGGGACTGGACCCTGCTGGGCCTCAGGAAACGTCCGCGTCAGCTGGCTGCAGGCTCCGGGGTTGCCTCCCAGGTACAGCACCAGGAGGGAAGCTTAAACTCCGCCACTGCACCCAGCTAGGCCACCTGGCCGCCTCTCAGGCTCTCTGGGAGGCTGCCTGCCACCCACGCTGGCCAGCAGAGCCTAAGGTGGAATCAAGGCCTTAGCCCAAGGGACACTCACCTCCTCCAGGGTGCTCAGAGAGACCCCAGCAGCCACAGACACTAAGATGTGTTCAGCGGTGACCACGGGAGCCACCTCGGCCAGCACAGCCGGCAGGACGTGGGGCTTGGTGGCAAAGATGACGAGCAGACAGCTCTGCAGCACCTCCTGGTTGGAGTGGGTGGTCCGGCAACCCAGAGCCTGAGCCAAGGACACCAGGACCAGGCCTCAGGGGCTGTATGGGCAGCACACCTTCCTCACCACAGCCCCTCCTGCTGGACGCCACACATTCCCAGGGTCCAGGGCCTCTCCCATTGCAAGTGTCTAGACCACCCGCACTTCACCAGTGCCCAAGATTCACCCAGACTAGCCCTCCTCCTCACAGGCAGATCTGATGTCAGCACCTCCCCAAGCCCTGAGCCCTCTATCCCATGAATATCCGTGGCCACAGCCCCAGCATGCACACAAACACGTGCACACGCAAGCACTCATGAGCATGCACTCACATACACACATGTGCACACACACGTGCACACACATGCACTCACAAGCACACACACACGTGCACACATGTACTCACACGTGCACATGCACGCACGCATGCACCCCCCCCACACACACACACACTTTGCTCTGGCTCTCCACAACCTGACTTTCCTTCTTGCCTCTAATCTCCCTTTCCCCAGCCTAGACCAGCCAGTCTCCAAACTTCAGCTAAATAAGCCGCCACCCACCCCTGGCTCTGGTAAATGTCTTAGTGGGACAGGAGCCAAGAGTTATCCTGGGGGTACAAAGAATCTGGGCTCTGTGCTCACTTGGAAGTGACATAGGTTCCTGTCTGTCGGTGCACTGGCCAGTATGTGCTGAGCTTCCACTTTTCCTGGAAAGAAAGGAAAAGGAAGAGGGGTTGAAGGGGTCGGGTAGGACGGCAGTGAGGAGGGAGGAACTTGCCTGGCCTCTCAGGCTCAGCCACGCCTGGCCCATCCTGGGCCCCCTTCTGCCCTCAGAAACCCAAACCAGGGATGCGCCATTCACTGGGCCCAGGCACTCAGATCCACTGATTATACTTGTCAGTCAACATCCCTGACTGCTGCTGGGTATGGAGGCCAGGAGCTTGCCTCGTTGCTGAGGACACAGATCCCTGGGGCCTCTGCCTCCAGGGAAGGGAAGGCTGCCTGGAACAGAAGAGGCAGTACCTCCAACACCAGGCTTTGGAGGAGTGTGGTGGGTACAAAGGCAGCTGGCTGATTGGCCACAGAAGGCCCAACGGGGGCCCAGGTTCCTCAGGAGGAAGAGTCTGTTGGGATGTCCAAGAAGAGGCTAAACTCCTACTTGGTAAAAACATATGCTTTTGTAGGGTACAGGGGTGGGGAGATAGGGTTAGATTTTGCTAAGGTCGAACAGGAAGACAGACGTGTACAGCACAACCTGAACACAGCAACTAATCATGACAGTGGCAGACATACACAGCAGTATTAGGCTCAACACTACGCATTACATCTAATTACCCTGTACAGCTCTGGGAGGCATGTAATACTGCCGGGTTTCACAGGTAAAACTCCCCAGACTCCCAGTAAGCTATTTTCCGATTGATCATGACTCTTCTGGACCCTGAAGTATGGCTGAAGGCAGAGAGCCAAGAGTCACCCAGCTCTCCCTACCCACAATCTGCAGAAAGGCTTCTAAATGCCTGGAGAAGTATATGATCAGCATAAATATCCCGGCTATAGAGCAGTGGTTCTCCACCGGAGATGATTTTGTCTGTCTCCTCCTCCCACCCAGTGCTCATTCGGTAGTGTCCGGAGGCATTTTTGGCTGTCACAACGTGGGGGTGCTACTGGCAAAGGACGGATGGCCTGGCCCAGGTGTCCCTAGAGCCAAGGTGTCTGGGGGAGAAGCCCTGCTGTTCCCCAGGAGGGGCTGGCGCACAGAGAAAATCAAAGGCTGGGAGAGGTGAACCTGGCCAAGGCCACGCGGCCAGGAAGCCGGCCACGGAAGCGGCACCAACCCACGTGAAAAAATTAAGGGAAACAGGCATGGCCCCGGCTGCGCCCAGCGCTGCGGAGGCCCACGTGGCTGGGCGCGCGCTCTCCGCCCCACTCTCTCGGAAGGACGCCTCCCACGGGGCTGTTCCCACGCCAGGCCGCGAGCCCAGCTCCGCGCCGCCCCACCTGCTCTAATGAGGCCCTGCGCGATGGCCCCCGCCATGCTACCGGCGCCCACGAAGCCCACGCGCCGCGGAGCCAGCCCCGCAGCCGCCATCTTGTCGCACTGGGCGCCGCCGCGCCCCGCCCACAGGCCTTGGCCCCACCAATGGGACACGCCCCCCGTGCTCCCCTCGCCGATTGGCTGCCGGGACCGCACGCCCCGGGCGCGCCCGGCTTTTTGTCCGCACTCTACTGGTTCGCAAGGCGCGGGGGCTCTGCCTCTCGCTGCTTATTGGCCCGAAAAGGCCGCCGCCCCTCACTGCCCATTGGCTGAGAGGAACCGAGGGTTGGCGGGGCGGGCGGGGCAGTGGCGCTCCGAGCGGCCGGGGATGCCAGGCGCGCGTGCGCGGAACACATCTCGGTTTTTTGGAAGGGAGGGGTCGCGAAGCGGGTTGCGGGGCTGGTCCGGGGCTTGCGGTCCCCGAGGCTCCGCCGACCGCAGACGGGGAGGGGAGCAGACAGCGCGGGAGCGGAGGTGCTCGTCATTTTTTTTTGTTTTTTGAGACTGAGTCTCGCTGTGTCCCCGGGCTGGCGTGCAGCGGTGCGGTCTCAGCTCACTGCACTCACCTGCCAGATTCAAGCCATTTCCCTGCCTCAGCCTCTGGAGTAACTGGGATCACAGGCGCGGGCCACCACGCCAGGCTAATTTTTTGTATTTTAGTAGAGATGGGCTTTCACCTTGTTGGCCAGGCCGGTCTTGAACTCCTGACCTTGTGATCCGCCTGCCTCAGCCTCCCTAAGTGCTGGGATTACAGGCGTGAGCCACTGCTCCCGGCCGTCGTTTTAATGACACAAGAAAAATGAGGTTTGAAGATCTGAGTGTGGTTTTGTTTTCACCACCCAATCTAAAGCTTCAGGTTACTCATGTTTTGTTATTTTCCTCTGAAGCCTTTGACATTTCCTGACCTCTTCAGTAATTAAATCCTCTCATTGATTCAACATTTACTGAGCCGCTGCAGCCTCTGGGCCTTGCCCTGGGCCTGGGCAAGACCACCACACAGCAGCAGATGGGACAAGCTAGATCACACCCTACCGCCCTGTTTGCTGGCAATGGAGACAGACCAGTCGGCACATGCAAGGGATGGCCAGAGTGTCAAGGCTCTGAAGCAAATGACGTGGATCGAGACGGAAAGCCACCAGGAGGCTGCTTTGGCCACTGCAGCCAAGAAATCTGGGTGGTAAACGCTTTGCACCAGCTCTCAGCGCCAGCAGCTGTCTCCTGCCACCTAGGATCCTGCCAGCCCCTTCCCAAACAGACTCCCTGGATTTTCTCCCAGGCCCGCCAGGCCAGTGATGGCTTGGGACCAAGGCTGGGGGGAGGGGAGAGGGGCCGGAGGCATCCTGCGCCATGCCATCATATGTAAGGACAAAGCTCATCATAAACACGTGGACTGAGGCCAGGTGAAGAGGGTTGCTGGCTGAGTGTCCAGGGCCACAATAGGTAAGAGGCCAAGGGGCATTCAGCTTCTCCGTCCCCTTCTGGGCCGGGCTTCTGAGCATTGGCTGGGAGCCCTCAGCTGACCTGGACATCCAGCCAGCCAGGGCTTGTGTCCAAGGCACCTCTCTGTTCTTGGTGGGGCTTCCTCCCACTGCTCCTCACCTGGCAGATCCAGGCGGGCACACAGGCACCACCCTCTCCAGGAGGCCTTTCCTGAACCTCCATGTGGGCAGAACCTTCATCCACAAAAGGCTGTTGCCAGGGGATACACTATGAAGGAGGCCAACCCACCTCCTGGAACTCCAGGTCCTGGGGTATTGGCATGAGGGGTGGAGGTCGAGGCAGGGATCCCAGAAGTTTTCAGACAAAACACAATCCCAGCAGGGCAGTTGGATGCTCTGGGAGGGGCTGAGAAGGTGCCATCAGGAAAGGTGTTTTGGAGGCTGGGCCATCCCAGCTGAGGCCTAAAAGGTGGGGAGGCCTTGACCCAAGAGGGGGCCAGTGTCAGGGAGGCCTGGAGGACACCTTGGCTTGCCAGACACAAAGGGACAGTGACATTTGAGGTGAGTGCTTGATTGAGCACCAGACACAGGTCTGGACTTGGTGCTGGGACAGGGAAGATACACCACTGCTGCCCGAATGAACAGAGGAAGATGCGACCTGCAGTCAGAAGGCATCGGGTGCATGAAGACGGCACGGGGCACCCAGGAGAGAGGAGCCCTGAGAAGGGGCGGCCCAGGAACCAGGGATGGTGTCTGGGTCCTGGGCGTAGTGGACCAGAGGGCTTTGGCCTAGGGGCTCCCTCTCTGTGAGGCACTGGAAAGAGGGTGGCAGGCAAACCGGGGCCTGGACCGCAGCTCCACCCTGCCTGACTGAGGCACTTGCCCGGGAACCATTCTGGACTTTGATGTCTCCCCTCTGAGAGTGGCAGGGAGCAATGATGCCCACCTCTGGTGGCTGGAGCTGACCTGTCCAGCAGGCACCTGTCCCTCTCCATGAGACGAGGGCAGGTGAGGACCCACACCCAAGCCTGAGAGTCACAGATGAGAGGCCAGACCATGGGGAGGCCAGAGCCACCCAGTCATCAGCCTCCCCTCAGATCCATCCATGGGCCCCACCCGGCTGGCCCACTAGATCAGTTCCCCCAGAGCTCTCAGGCTGAGGAGGGAGGCCTGGGTGAGCCCAGGTTACTCAGGCCTGCAGGTGGCCTCATGTGGAGAGGCTGGGGCTGGCCCTGCCCTGCACATCCTTGTCCAGCTGACAGCCCATGCCGGTACCATTGCTGCCTGCCTGCTGCCCGCCCACATGCGTGCCTTCCCAGCTCCAGCCTCTGCAGCCTTTCCACCCCAGGGACAAGGGCAGGTGAGGTGCCAGCTCTCAGGGGCTGAACAGCAAGCAGGGGACAGTGAGTCCGGGTCTGGCCAGGCCGGGGGTCAGTGCCTGATTGTGGGGGGATGGCTCAGCAGAGCTGCCAAGGCCAGGCCTGTGAAAATGCACTTTATTGGCTCCTAGGGAGTGGGATGCAGGATCAGAGTGGGCACGCGAAGGGCCTGGGGGCCTGTGTGGGGAGCAAAGGGCCGGGCCTGCCCGGGCCCTGGTTTCCCTGAGGACCGTCATGAATGGAGGCCCCACTGGACAGATGCCTGGGGCTGCAGAGCGGATGGAACATGGGCCCAGGTCACTGGGTGATGCCCTCAGCTCCTGGCATGGTTGGTAGGTGGTGGCCAAGGGGCTCAGCCAGCTGACGGTTTGCAGGCACCTGCTCCTGCCTTCCAGCTTCACTTCCGGGCCTGCTCGTAGTTGTCAGTGAACCATGCACACGTCTCCTTCACCGCTGCAGAGGAGGGCAGGTGAGGGCCAAGGGTAGTTAGGGCCAGGGGCGCACGGGAGGAAGTGGGGGCAGGCGCCTCACCCCCTGCTCTGGTAGGGAACATGGGGGAGGGGGCGGGGGAGGCCACCAGGTGTGGGGGGCACCAAGTGGAGGGTTGTGGGGCGGGGCTCACCCTGCTTGAAGGGGGTGAACCGGAAGTCAGGCAGGTAGGCCCTCAGCTTGCTGTTACTGGCTGTCTTCTTAAACTGCCCATCCGACTTGGTTGTATCAAACTGGACTCTTTGTCAAGGCCACAGCGAGAGGAGCACCTCCACTCCCAGCCCCTGCAGCTTGCCCTTGAACCTCTGCCGTTCCCAGGAGAAGCACAGCAGAGCCCCTCCTCCTGCCAGGGTGAGTGTCCTCCCTCCAGTGTCCCACCCATGTGGGCCCTATACTGGGAGGCCACTGAGCCCACCCAACGCCCAGCGCTGGAGCCAGAGGATACGGTGACCTCCCCATGGAAGTCCATAGCCTCCACCACCGCCTCAGCTGCCTCCTCGATGGAGACCTCGTCTTCCTCGCCCACTGCAGGGAGCCACTGTGTCAGGCCTCCCGTCACAGCTGCCCAACTGCCCGTGAATATTCCTGCTCCCACCCTTCAGCCAGCCTCCCAGGACAGCCATGGATCCCGTCCCACCATGGAGGAAGGGGGCTGGGGACTGCGGTGCCCACCTGAGAGGATGATGGGCTCCACCTCATTGTACTCCCGCAGGACCCAGATAACGAGCTGGGCCAGGTCCTAGAGCCAGACGGGCAGGGTCAGAGGCCGAGAAGATAGCCACAGGTCCCCTCTCCCAAATGCTCTTGCCGGGGAGTCCACACTCCTGTTCTTGTTCAGTGGGGGCTCAGCCTGGGGACCAGGGGTCCCTCCTTTTACCCTCCGAGCTCAGAGTGACACCAGTGACTTCTGGAAACATGAGCCCTAGGGGGCCTCCAGGAGGCCCAGAAATGGCTCCTCTGGGAGCTCAGCCCAGTCTCTCTCCTGGTCCCAGGCTCCCTTCTGCACCGCGTCCCCTTCAGACCAGCAGGGGCAAGCCCAGGGCTCACTGGGGCAGGTGCTCTGGGGAGAGCTGTGCCTTCCTTTACGCACCAGTGAGTATATGAACTGCCTCCGCGGCTTCCCTGTACCCCACACCGTCAGGGCCGAGCCGCTGCCTGCAGATTCGGGGAGGGAGCAGGTGTCAGAGGCACTGGATCACCTCGTCCTGAGCTGAGCCCGGGCACCCCCGACGGAGTGGATGCACTCACTCTTGGCCAGGTGCACCTTGTGGATGAGGCCAGGCAGCACATGGCCATCCTCGATGTTGAAGTTGTCATGGGGCCCGAAGACGTTGGTGGGGATGACAGCGGTGAACGTGCAGCCGTGCTGCTGGAAGTAGGCCCTGCGGAGGCACAGGGTCTCCTGTCCTCGTCCTGGGACTGCGATCCCACCCAGCGCTGCCGCCGGCCTCTTACTGAGGCTGGCATGAAGACCCGACCCGGCTGGCCCCACCCGCCCCGGGGGCCCTCTCCCCGACTCCTGTCTGGGGCTCAGCAGGACGGGTGTGAGGACCTGTTCTGCACGTCGATCATCCTCTTGGCATACGAGTACCCAAAATTGCTGCTGTGGGGCGGCCCATTGTGGATCTGCGGGGGCGGGAGAGGCAGAGGCCGCTGCTTCCAGGCCCCGCCCACAGGCTCCCGGCCCCGCCCCAGCCAGGCCCCGCCCCTCACCATGGTCTCATCTATGGGGTAGGTAGTCTTGTCAGGGAAGACACAAGTGGACAGGCAGGACACCACCTTGCGGGCGCCCACCTCGAAGGCCGAGTGCAGGACGTTGTCATTGATGTGCACATTCTTCCTCTGCAGGGGTGAGGTGGGACAGATCAGGCTTCCCAGGCCAGATCCTAGCCTTGGCCTTTCAGACGTGGCAGGACCCAAGCGTACTTAAACTTTTTCTTTTTTTTCCCCCCTCTTCCTTTTAACAGCACCAAGCCTACTTATCCTAACTGCTTCGGGACAGGGAGAGGCTCTTGGGCTTACAGACACCACTACTCTACCCCACAAGGCTGGAGGAGGGGCTGGCTCTGCCTTCCGGGTGTGAGGAGAGAACCACACCCCCAGCTCAGGGCTGGGCCCCACCCAGGAGGCTGCAGAGGTCAGGACAGGTAGTGGAGGCTGGGAAGGAGCCCAGAGGGCCCAGTCTGGCCCTAGGCTGGGCTGGGGCTCCCACTACACGGGGAATGGGCGGTCTACTTCCTCCGCCAAGCCCCACTTCCCTTGCATGAAATGGACAGGGCATGGCTGCAGCATGGGAACTGTCTTGGGAGAAGGGAGAGGTGCTGGCCAGGCATCCTGTTGAGAAAGCTGAGACAGACAAGGAGGGCTCTGGGGTGACAGGCCCCTGGGCAGAATCTGGTCTGAGTCTCTGCTGACCCATGCCTCGTACAAGCCAGCTACGGCATGGCTGCTGCCCAGAGAGACCTGTGGGGCCAACCCTCCGGGGCGCAGCTAGCCTGGGCAGGGGCCTTACACCACGTCCCCTTTCCCCAGGCACAGGACGAGATGCATGGAGCGCAGTTCATGCCACTGTACCCCAGAGTGTGGTGGGCCCAGTTCAGGGGAGCTGGGCCAGCACAGTCCTGGGAGCCGGAGGCTCTGGAGGCCCTGGGGACTCATGGGGTAGGAACCAGCTCCCATTCCTATGGTGGCTGCTGGCTCCTTTCAGCTTCCCAATGCCGCTGGTCAGCTCTACAGCTTTTCCTACTGGGCCAAGTGCCCCAGGCCCACCTGCATGCCCCTCTGTCCACAGCACCTCAGGGGCTGCCCCCACCAGGCTGTGCCAAGCCCTGGTCCTCAGGGACTTCCTGGGGTGGGAATGTGGGCCTGTGAGAGTGGGAAGCCCGCCAGAAGTTCCCAGAACCTGGGATCCTGGATTCCAGCGATTGCTGGGGCCACCCTCACTTACCCAGAAGTCCAAATTGTATTTGATATTCCGGAACAGGCCCCCCACCATTGCAGCAAGATGGATGACGTGCGTGGGTCGGACCTTCTCAAACAGGGTGCGGGTCTGTGCTGCATCCCTGGAGGGAGCCAGGCTGTCAGGAGGCTCTGGAGGGAATGAGCACCCCAGGGTTGGGTGCACAGTGCAGGGACTGGGTGGGACTATGGCAGGAGAGACAGCAAAAAGGGAGGGTGGCCCCAGGGCCCGGCTGGTGTGAGGGTGCAGGCTTCTGGGAAGAGATGGGAGGATGTTTGTCTAGGAACACAGCCAAGCACACCAGGCCAGGCTAGCCACCTGGCAGGGAGAACCCAGACACAGCTACTGCTAGACTCAGGAACAGGCCCAGCCCGGAGCTCTTAGTTCTGGGGTGCAAGGTAGGATGGGGAGGAAGGGCTGATCCGGGGATGGGCTCTCTCACGTGAGATCGGCGTCCTTGGAGGAGACAAACACCCAGTCCTCTCCAGGAAGGCCAGCTCCATCTGCTACCACCTTCTGGATGGCTTTGCCCACCAGCCCAGAGCCCCCTGTCACTAGAATCCGCATGGACCCCTGGGGTTCACCCATGTCAGCTGCACCTGTAGTGTCAAATAATGGGAGGCTGAGACCATCATGCTCCCGTCCCTTGGAGCCCCACGCTTCTGTGGCAAACGGTACAGAGTGAAGCCCTCAGGGAGGGGACGTAGTCCACCGGCAACCAGAAAGACCCAGCTGGACCGAGGCACCCCCCTCGTTCCCCAGGGAGCCCTCAGGCTACAGCGCCACAGGGGTCCTGAGCTACCACTCAGCCTAGAGCAGCTGGTCCCAACCCACTGGGCCAAGAAAACGCACATTATACGCCCCTCTGGCTGACAGGAGGGGAGGCAGACGACTTCGGGGCTGCGGGCCCTGGCGAAGGTCGCTAACACGGCTCGCAGCCAAAGCCCGCACGCTAGGGACAGGCAAGAGGCGGCGCCTGTGAGCAGCCCAAGCCCACGCCAGGCAGGCTGGTCCCGGAGAGCCCGGGAGAGCTCGACTCCCCCAGGGCAGGACAGGCCTCCGGGCGCAGCCACCCTCACGACCCTATTCTGGAGCCGGAAACCACCTCGGGCTCCGCGGCAGGGCCCCGGGGCCAGCCCTTAAGGGAGGGGTCCCTGCGCAGGCCTCGCGCGGCTCCCCGCACGCCGGGAGACCCCGCCGCGGCCGAACCCCCTACCACGGCCCCAGGCCGACCCCACGCCCCTCGACCCCAGACCCCCACAGCGTTCCCTGACTCTCACGGAGCACCCAGGGCCTAGACCGCAGATAGGTCCCGCGCCACCTCACCTGCGTCCCGCCCCACCTCCGGCTTCCCAGCGGCAGCTTCCGGCCGGGTGCGCTCCGAGTTTGCGCAGCGCCAGGTAGGAGGCGGGGCACTCTGGGAAATGGAGTCCGGGCAACGCGCAGCGTCCCGGGCGCTGCCGGGACATGGAGTCCGCGGCCGCAAAGCCGCCTGGGAAGCGCAGTCTCTCCCGCCTTCCGTGCGCTGGCGGGACTCCGGGGGCGAGCCGGGGCCGAGGCCTCCACAGCGGGTCGGGCAATGGCTGGATCGAGCCCAAGCGGGGGGCGGGAGACGGGGACCCGAGGACAGCGCCGCGGGCGCCGCGTTCGCCTGACCCGGCGCAGCGGGACCGCCTCGGGAGCCGCCCTCCGCCTAGCCGGGGCGCGGCGCTGCGCGGGACGGGCCTGCGCGGGACCTGCGGGCGCTGGGCCCGGCGGGCTCGCGCTGCGGGGTCTCCCTCTGCTCCCCTCCCCTCCCGGGGTTGCGCCCCCGAACCCGCAGACCCCGCGGCCAGCCTCTTGGATTCCGAAGGCGCCGAGGAGCCCGGCCTGGCGTCCCGAGCACGTGCGCTGTCGCCCGCGCCGCGGCTGCTGCCGCAAACACCCGCGGGTGCCGATGGCGGGTCGCGGCGGGTCACGGCGAGGCAGACGATCGCGGCGGCCCCCCGTGGTCCCGGTGGGTGGCCGTGGCGGGTGCGGTCCCGCGTGGCGCTGCGAGCCGCCGGCTGCTCCTGCCCGAGGCTGCCCGCGAGGCCGCTGTGTGTGCGGGAACCCCCACGTGCGGGGAAGGGTCTGAAGCTCAGCGTGTTCCATAGGCCGACTCAGAAAAGAATTAGAGCCGGGCGCGGTGGCTCACGCCTGTCATCCCAGCACTTTGGGAGGCCGAGGCGGGTGGATCACGAGGTCGAGAGATCGAGACCATCCTGGTCAACATGGTGAAACCCCGTCTCTACTAAAAATACAAAAAAAATCAGCTGGGCGTGGTGGCGCGTGCCTGTAATCCCAGCTACTCAGGAGGCTGAGGCAGGAGGAATTGCCTGAGCCCAGGAGGTGGAGGTTGCGGTGAGCCGAGATCGCGCCATTGCACTCCAGCCTGGGTAACAAGAGCGGAACTCCGTCTCCAAAAGAAAAGAAAAGAATTAGAAATATAGGCACGTAGTTATTCCTTTATACAATAACATATCATCTTAAAAAAAAAAAAAAAAAAAAAAACACGGGGTTTCACCTTGTTGGTCAGGCCGGTCTTGAACTCCCGACCTCAGGTGATCCGCCCGCCTTGGCCTCCAAAGTGCTTGGATTACAGGCGTGAGCCACCACGCCCGGCACATATGATCTTATAGTTACTTATAATCGTAAAGATATATACTCAATGTAACCTTTAATTTTACTAACGACTCTCGGGTTATGAAGCATGGAACCGAGGTGACGCTGTGAACAAGGTGACCCTAAGGCACGCTGCTCTAAGCCCCCTGTCACGCCCGCATAAGGGCTGCTGGAGGGCGCCTCGGCTGTGCGGCAGCGCCAGGGCTGGGAAAGCCCCGCTGTGTAGCCAGCTAGGCGAGGAGACGTCCAAGATGGCCGAGACGTCCCCTTCCTGGGGAAGTTAGGAGGAAACTCCGCTTCTCCACGCTCTGGTTGCAAGGCCTGAGGACTGTCAGGAGGCCCGCAGACCTCCGACGCTCAACTGTCTCTATGTGAGGCTGTACTTCACAGGTTCCATGTCTGTTCTCACGCCCTGCTTCCGCACCGGGTTTCTCTTTTTCTTAAAAGAAAGAATGAATAATAGTAACAATCTTAGTGTCCTTGATATTTCAGACAAGTGTGCAAAGAGCCCTGACGCATTAGGTCCTCGCCTGTGGTACTTGAAAGCCCTGGGCCTCCTATCTTCAAGACACGTGATTACCTGACCCTATCGCTGACCACCATTACTTCGCCCGACCTTCCCTGCCCACTGCTTTGTACTCAATAAAGGAATGTCCAGGCACTCGGTGCCACTGCTGGTCTCCCCACTTTGGTTGGCAGTGGACCCCCAAGGCCAAACTCTTCTCTCTGTGTCTTCTATTTCTACAGTTTCTCATCTCTGCGCCAGCAGAGAGGGGCTGGACCGTAACCCCTGCTGCTCAGAGCCCAGTCCTGCTGCCTGGGGCGGGAGCGGGTGGCAGCCCAGCTCTGGCTTCTGGAGGCCCTGGTCATCTATGGAAATGCAAGCATTTAAACGCAGTCACGGCCAGGCGCGGTGGCCGACGCCTGTAATTCCAACACTTTGGGAGGCTGAGGTGGGTGGATCACCTGAGGTCAGGAGTTTGAGACCAGCCTAACCAATATGGTGAAACCCCATCTTTAAAAAAAAAAGCAGTCACGACCCGGTACGGTGGCTTAGGCCTGTACTCCCAGCACTTTGGGCAACTGAAGCGGGTGGATCATTTGAGGTCAGGAGTTTGATAACAGCCTGGCCAACGTGGCGAAAACCCATCTCTGCTAAAAATATAAAACTAGTCGCGTGTGGTGGCAGGTGCCCGTAATCCCCAAAACTCAGGAGGCTGAGGCAGGAGAATCGCTTGAACCCAGGAGGCCAAGGTTGCAGTGAGCTGAGATTGTGCCACTGCACTCCAGTCTGAGTGACAGAGCAAGACTCCATCTCAAAATAAAAAATAACATGCAGTTCATATCAAATAGTTGTGGCAGTGAAAATTCAAAATTAACTTTGTTTCCCAGGAAAGACAATTGGATCTTCATCTGGGTATCTCATATTATTTCCCTTCTCTCTCAGATTCTCAAATTCTGTCTACATTGTATCTGATTACTTTAACAACATTTAGTCACCATTCCTATTCTGCGTCCAAGCAGGGAAGGGTTCAAGGTCAAAATGGGTCCATACTTCTTCAAGATGTGCCATCTTTGGGCTAACTTAAATATTGGGCTGGGGGCAGTGGCTCATGCCTACAGGCCCGGCACCTTTGGGAGGCCGAGACAGGAGGATCCCTTGAGCCCAGGAGTTTGAGGCTGTAGTCAGCTGTGACTGAGCCACTGCACTCAGCCTGTGGACAGAGTGAGAATTTGTCTCTTAACAAAAAGAAGACAAGATATTAATAGCAAAAGAAAAAAGAGAATACACCAAGGAAAAAAAAAAGAAAAAAACAGACAAAAAAAAGATATTAATAGCATTTGTGATTCTGAATTTTTTTTGTTTGTTTGTTTGTTTTTTGTTTTTTGTTTTTGTTTTGAGATGGAGTTTCGCTTGTTACCCAGGCTGGAGTGCAATGGCGCGATCTCGGCTCACCGCAACCTCCGCCTCCTGGTTCAGGCAATTCTCCTGCCTCAGCCTCCTGAGTAGCTGGGACTACAGGCACGCGCCACCACGCCCAGCTAATGTTTTGTATTTTTAGTAGAGATGGGGTTTCACCATGTTGACCGGGATGGTCTCAATCTCTCGACCTCGTGATCCACCCGCCTCGGCCTCCCAAAGTGCTGGGATTACAGGCTTGAGCCACCACGCCCGGCCTCTGGATTGTTTTAAGGCAGCAGTCCCCAATCTTTTTGGCACCAGGGACGAGTTTCCTGGAAGATAACTTTTCTGTGGATTGGGGCGGGGGTGGTTTCAGGATGAAACTGCCCCGTCTCAGATCCTCAGGCATTAGATTCTCATAAAGAGTGCCACAACCTTGATCCCTGACTGCGCAGTTGACAATGGGATTGGTGCTCCGATGAGCATCTGGTGCCACCATTGATACAAGAGGAGGCAGAGCTCACGCTGAAATGCTTACTCACCTGCTACGTGGCCTGGGTCCTAACAGGCCACGGACTGGGACTGGTCCACAGCCTGGGGACCCCTCTTATAAAACAGTGGGTCAGCCGGGCGCGGTGGCTCACGCCTGTAATCCCAGCACTTTGGGAGGCCGAGGCGGGTGGATCACGAGGTCAAGAGATCGAGACCATCCCGGTCAACATGGTGAAACCCCGTCTCTACTAAAAATACAAAAAATTAGCTGGGCATGGTGGCATGTGCCTGTAATCCCAGCTACTCAGGAGGCTGAGGCAGGAGAATTGCCTGAACCCAGGGGGCGGAGGTTGCAGTGAGCCGAGATCGCGCCATTGCACTCCAGCCTGGGTAACAAGAGCGAAACTCCGTCTCAAAAAAAAAAAAAAACAGTGGGTCAGGCCGATAACTCATGCCTGTAATCACAGTGCTTTGTGAGGCTTATCCCTTGAGGCCAGGAGTTTGAGACGAGCCTGGCCAACATAGTGAGATCCCATTTCTAGAAAAAAATAAAAAATTAGCCAGAGGCCACGTGCGGTGGCTCACACCTATAATCCCAGCACTTGGAGAGGCTGAGGTGGCGGATCACATGAGGTCAGGAGTTCCAGACCAGCCTGGCCAACATGGTGAAACACCGTCTCTACTAAAATACAAAAATTAGCCAGGCATGGTGGGAGGCACCTGTAATCCCAGCTACTTGGGAGGCTGAGGCATGAGAATTGCTTGAACCTGGGAGGCAGAGGTTTCAGTGGACTGAGACTGTGCCACTGTACTCCAGCCTCGGTGACCGAGTGGGACTCTGTTTCAAAAAAAGAGAAAAAAATTAGCTGGATGTGGTGGTGCATGTGGGTGGTCCCAGCTACCTGGGAGGCTGAGGTAAGAGGATCCTTTGAGCCCAGGAGGTCAAGGCTGCAGTAAGCTATGATTGCACCACTGCACTCCAGCCTGGATGACAGAGTGAGACCCTGTCCCAAAACAAACAAAAAAACCCAATCAGCCCAGCATGGTGGCTTACGCCTGTAATCCCAGCACTTTGGGAGGCCAAGGTGGGTGGATCACCTGAGGTCAGGAGTTCAAGACCAGCCTGACCAACATGGTGAAACCCCGTCTCCAACTAAAAATACATAAATTAGCTGGGCGTGGTAGCATGCACCTGTAATCCCAGCTACTTGGGAGGCTAAGGTGGAAGTTGCAGCGAGCTGGGATCTTGCCATGGCACTCCAGCCTAAACTACAAGAGCAAAACTCCATCTCAAAAACACAAAAAACACCAATTCTGCCATAAATGACATAAATAATACTTCTGCTGCTTCAGTCCAAATCCTGGCTGTTCACCTTTTAATTTGCCAACCATTTTAGCTCCATGTTCATAGGTTTGCCTTCAAAAATCTCTTGAATCAGTGCATAAAATTGGAGATTTAAAAAAGTCCTTTTTACTTACGTCAAAATCTGTACTATTTTAAAACTGTAAAATCAATGAAATACTCATTAATATCAATTTCTTTTCATTTTTGGAAGTTCATCAGTATAGACAAACATCTTGTTTGTTCAACATGACTTGGCATTGCACAATCTGATTAAATTTAGTAACTAATTTAAAAATAACAGTTGGTTGCTTATAGCCATTACTGGAACAAAAGAAAAAAATATATTACAGTTGATATTTGTTGTCTATGAGGGTGTGTCTTGCCATTAGATACGAGCATGGCTGTGGGAAGTAGAAAAATTCCTCTTCGGCCGGGCGCGGTGGCTCAGCCTGTGATCCCAGCACTTTGCGAGGCCGAGGCGGGTGGATCACGAGGTCGAGAGATCGAGACCATCCTGGTCAACACGGTGAAACCCCGTCTCTACTAAAAATACAAAAAATTAGCTGGGCATGGTGGCACGTGCCTGTCATCCCAGCTACTCAGGAGGCTGAGGCAGGAGAATCGTTTGAGCCCAGGAGGCGGAGGCTGCGGTGAGCCGAGATCGCGCCATTGCACTCCAGCCTGGGAAACAAGAGCGAAACTCCGTCTCAAAACAAAAACGGAAAACCAGCCGCCGCACGGCGCGCCGCCCCCCCGCCCCCGGGGCGCACCGCAGTCCCTTCCCCGGGCCCCGCCTCCCGGGACGGCCTCGCCGCGCGCTCCCCGCCGCAGCCGCCCCCCGCAGCGCGCGGCCCGCCGGCCCGGACGTCCGCACCACCGAGACGCGCCGACCCCCGCCGCGTCCAGAGCGGCGCCGGAAGTTGCCCAGGCGGGGCCCGGGGCGACTTCCGGCCGCGGCGGGCCGGCGGCGGTGCGGGCTTTGTCGGCGGGTCGCGTTGGCGGCTGCGGGGTCGGGCTCGCGCCGCCCCCTCCCCGCCCGCGCCGGGTGAGTGGCGCGTTCCGGTCGGGGGCGGGCGGCGCTCTAGCCGCGGCCCGGGCTGGCTCAGGGGCCGGGCGGGGTCCGCGGGCCGCGGCCCGCCCCGCAAGGGCGTCCGGAGCCGGGCCTCGGCCAGCCGGTCCCCCCGACGCCGCCGCGGCCGCCCCCGCGGGGCCGCAGCGTCTCCCGGCGAGCGCCCCCGGGCCCCGGCCTGCGGCGGCCTCCGTGCGGAGCGCCGCGTGGGTGCCCCCGGCCGCTCCCCGTCACCCCGCCCCGGGCCCGGGCCGCGGAGCCGCGGGCTTGAGTTCCCGCCGGGCCCGCGCGAGGTTGGGGGCCGCAGGGCGGGGCGGGGGCCTCGGGGCCTCTCGGTGCCGGAGCAGGTGCAGCGCCGGCGTCTCGTGTGCTGCCGGGACGGGGGCGCGGAGGGAGCGTGATGAGCAGAGTGGGAGCGAGAATCCCCGGCGGGAGGCGGCGGTGCGGCTGCTGCGCGGCCCGGCTTCCCCCGAGGGTTCCCTTTCCCCTTCGGGTCTTCAGGAATCCGGGGGCGTTCTCTGCGCTGCCGTCAGGGCCGTCTTGCCCCCTTCTCACGCAGGCCGCATCACGGTCCGGGGACCCTCGCGGTCTCAGCAGCGCCTGGTTGCGGTAGTTGATGTGAAGCAGCTCAGGGAGCTGCCGAGCTCGTCGGCGCTGCCTCCCGGTCGTGGAAGATGGCCCGGCAGGGGACACGGGCTCGTCGCTGTCCTTGGGCAGAGCCCTGAGCAGCATGCTTGGGGCAGAAGCCAAATGGCCTGGTGGGGGCAGGGGCAGCTGGCAGCGGGCTCCAGTTCTCTGACCTTAAGCTTGTTCGCTCCCTGAACGCCCAGGGCGTCGTGGGGAGCACTCGGAAGACAAGCCCGCCGTCCCTCCCTAGCGTGTGGCGCACAGCAGGCCCCTGGGTGATGGCGCGGGCAAGGAGGCCGGATGTTGGTGGGTCTCTGGTCCGAGTCCCACTCGGTTGCCCTCTGGCTCTGCTTTTTCTGTTATTACTGAGGGTGAAGCTTGGTGTATCCTGTTTATTTCTTTAGGCTGTAAGCGACACACAGTGACTCTGGCTGGGAGCTCGAGGCTGGAATATCCCCTTATCAGTGTGGGTTAAGAGCTGGGGGCTTCTAGTGCCGGATGGGACACCCCTAGACACCCCAGAGCCACTGCTGTGGCTGCTGATGATACACAACATGTGCGGTTGAGACAATTTCAGGTGATTTTGTTTGTTTTTGTTTTGAGAAGGAGCCTTGCTCTGTCGTCCAGGCTGGAGTACAGTGGCACGATCTCGGCTGACTGCAACCTCCACCTCCGATTTCAAGCAATTCTTCTGTCTCAGCCTCCCAAATAGCTGGGACTACGGGTGCGCACCACCACGCCCTGGCTAATTTTTGTATTTTTAGTAGAGATGGGTTTCACTATGTTGGCCAGGCTGGTCTCAAACTCCTGACCTCATCATCCACCTGCCTCCTTTTCCCAAAGTGCTGGGATTACAGGCGTGAGCCACTACCCGTGGCCTCAGGTGGTGATTTTTTTTTCCAGGTGATGTTTTATGCAGCAAATTCTAAGTGTTACAACAGGAACCACCATGCCTGACCCAGTTTGAATTTCTTTATCATCATGAAGAGAATTGAATCTGAATATTTGGGTTGTATATTAGCATTATTTAAGACGTAGGTTAAAATTGCTGTAACAGAGATTCAGAATACCATGTTTCAAATAAGAAACTTGAGTTTTCTTATTTTCTCAAAGGTGGGGCTCGGCCTCCATGGACTCTGGCTGCCCTCCCTCTTCAGCACTGTGGGGAGAGGAGAGTGTCCGGCATGCACGCATCACTTCCCTCCTTGTCTCATCTAGGTCACAAAGTCATCTAACTTGAGGGAACACTAGGAAATGTCATTTGTGGGGCATTCATTAGTAATTTGATGGGGCTTCTAACACTAAAAGGAAGAAGGAAACAGGAATGCTGGGAAACCACAGCAGCCGCCCATGTGTGCTCTGGACCTTTCATGCCCCACACGGGACGTGCAGGCAGACCTAGGAGATACTGCAGGTTTGGGTCCAGACCACTACACGAACGAACAGCACAATAACCAAGTCACGGGTGTTTGTGTTTCCCAGTGTATGTAAAAGTTCTTTTCAGCTACACTGTGGTCAGTATTAAGTATGCAGTAGCATTATGTCTTAAAAAAAATGTAAATACCTTAAAGATACTTTCTTGCTAAAAAAAAAAAAAGATCATCTGAGCCTTAAGCAGGTTGTGCTCATTTTGCTGGTGGAGGCTCTTGCCTCTTGCTGGCTGGTGGCTGATCAGGATGGTGGTTGCTGAAGTTTGGTGTGACTGGTAGTTTCTTAAACTGGGACAATAAAGTTTGCTGCATCAATGGAATCTTGCTTTCATAACAGATTTCTCTGTAGCATGCAAAGCTGTTTGCTAGTATTTTACCCACAGTAGAACTTCTTTCAGAATTGGAGTCAAGCCGGGCGCGGTGGCTCAAGCCTGTAATCCCAGCACTTTTGGGAGGCCGAAGCGGGTGGATCACGAGGTCAAGAGGTCGAGACCATCCTGGTCAACGTGCTGAAACCCCGTCTCTACTAAAAATACAAAAAATTAGCTGGGCATGGTGGCGCATGCCTGTAATCCCAGCTTCTCAGGAGGCTGAGGCAGGAGAATTGTCTGAACCCAGGAGGCGGAGGTTGCAGTGAGCCGAGATCACGCCATTGCACTCCAGCCTGGGTAACAAGAGCGAAACTCCATCTCAAAAAAAAAAAAAAAACAAAAAACAGAAACGGAGTCAAGCCTCTCAAACCCTGCCTGTGTTTTATTAACCAAGTTTATGGAATCTTCAGAATCTTTTGTTGTCATTTTAACAATGTTCACAGCATCTTCATTAGGAGCAGATTCCATCTCTAGAAACTACTTGCTATGCTCATCTCTTAGAAGCAACACCTCAGCCAGGCACAGTGGCTCGTGCCTGTAATCCCAGCACTTTGGGAGGCTAAGGTGGGTGGATCATCTGAGGTCAGGAGTTTGAGACCAGCCTGGCCAACCTAACGAAACCTCTGTCTCTACTAAAAAATACAAAAATTAGCTGGGCGTGGTAGTGGGTGCTTGTAATCCCAGCTACTCAGGAGGCTGAGGTAGGAGAATCGTTTGAACCCAAGAGGCAGAGGTTGCAGTGAGCCGAGATTGTGCCACTGTACTTCAGCCTGGGAAACAAGAATGAAATTTCGTATCAAAAAAAAGAAAAAGCAGAAACACCTCATGCATTCACGTTTGATGATGAGATTGAAGCAGTTCAGTCACACCTTTAGGCTACACTTCTAAATCCAGTTCTCTTGTTGTTTTCACCACATCTACAGTTGCTTCCTCTGCTAAAGTCTCAAACCCCTTAGATCCTTGAGGGCTAGAATCAAGTTTTTCCAAAATATCAAATGTTGATATTTTGACCTCCTCCATGAATCATAAATGTACTTCATGGCATGTATAATGATGACTCCTTTCTAGAAGGTTTTCAACTGACTGCCCAGATCCATCAGAGGAATCGTTATCTGTGGAACTACAGCCTTGTGAAACACATTTCTTAAATAAGACTTGGAAGTCAGAATAACTCCCAGTCCATGGGCTGCGGAATGCATATTGCGTTGGCACAGGAAGAACATCAGTCTCCCTGTGCGTCTCCGGCAGAGCTCTCGGGTGACCAGGAGCACTGTTAACGTGTAGTGTTTTGCATGGAGTCTTTGAGCAGTAGGTCTCATCAGTGGGCCCGAAATACTCAGTAAACCATGCTGTAAACAGATGCGCCATCATCTAGGGTTCGTCGTTCCATTTCTATAACACAGAATAGATTTAGCATCATTCGTCAGGGTCCTAGAATTTTTGGAATGGGAAATGAGCATTTGTTTCAGGTCACCAGCTGCATTAACCCCTAACGAGAGTCAGTCTGTCCTTTCAGCCTTTGAAGGCAGACATTGACTTCTGTCTAGCTACAACAGTCGTAGATGCCGCCATCTTCCAATAGAAAGCTGTTTCATCCACGTTGAAAATCGTTTTCATATAGCCACCTTAGTCAATCTTAGCTGCATCTGGAGAGCTTGTTGCAGTTTCTCCCACGGCTTTTGCGGCTTCACCTTGCACTTTGATGTGTGGAAGTGGCTTCTTTCCTTAAACCTCATGAACTAACCTCTGCTGGCTTTCTGCTTTTCTTTCGCACCTTCCCTCACCTGTCTTAGCTTTCGTAGAAGTGAGGACGATTAGGATCTTGCTGCTGTGGATTCAGCTTTGGTTGCCAGTCACCAGCCGGCAGGGAACGTTGTTTCAGTCTCTTCAGACTGCTCGGACTTCCTGCACGTCAGCGATGAGGCTGTCTCACTATCTTGTCCTTTGTGTCTTCACTTGAGCAGCTCCTTTAGCTTCCTTCGGTGGCTTTTCCTTTGCATTCCTGCTTGACTGTTTGGTGCAGGAGGCCCGGCTTTCTGACTGGGTTTCAGAGATCCCTTCCTCACTAAGCTTAATCATCTCTAGTTTTTGGTTTAAAGTGAGAGACGTGGGATTCCATCTTTCATGTGAGCACTTAGAGGCTGTGATAAGGTGACTAATTAGCCTAATCTCAGTATTGTGTCCAGGGAAGAGGGAGGCCCGAGGAAAGGGAGAGAGATGGAACAGCTGGTCACTGGTGGATGTAGAACACACACATTGATCAGTTTAGCCTCTTACATGGGTGCAGTTCATGGTGCCCTGAACAGTGGCAGTAGTTTTGGATTCCTGTTACCTGGCTCGGGTGTGGAGGGCAGATTTCCGAGATGGCCTCTTAGATTCCTGGCCCCTGATATACACACCCCTTCTTCCCGTTACTCTTTCAGACATTCATCTGGTGCTGCAGTGAAGAGACTTGCAGATGTCCATAAGTCCCAAGTCAGTGAGGTGAAAAGGGAGGGCGTTTGGGTGAGCCTGACCTAGCCACACAAGCCCTGGGAAGCAGAGATTC